TATCTGGAACTTAAAACAACTGTTTGTCAACCAACGCCAAGATCAGAATTTTCAATACAAATGTCAAAACAGTTCTAATGTAAGTGGCGGAAACTCGGAGAACTATGAAGGCTATCATCCAGATGATATAAGTGTTTATTAACAACTGTCTACGCAAAACAATTCGGATTCGTTGGCCAGGCACTATCAGCAACAACCTACTGTGGAAGAGAACAAACCAGATCTCAGCGGAGGAAGAAATCAGGGAGAAGCACTGGAAGTGGATAGGACACACATTGAGGAAAACACCAAACTGCGTCACGAGTCAAGCCCTCATATGGAATGCTCAAGGCCAAAAGAGAAGAGGAAGACCAAAGAACACATTGTTGTGACTTTAAGCCCAGCTAGTTATCACGTGATTTATCTGCCAATCGAAATACGACTTAGTACTGTGCTAAACCAATGACGTTCGACCGGTATGAATAGCCTAGCGTCCTTGTTGGTCCTTTGTTAGCCTAGCCTGTCCAGTTTTGTCCAGAACGCCAATAACAGCTTCCATTATGTGAATCATTCATTTCAAACATACTTGGTTTATGTACCAGCCAAACAGACCGCATTACACCATAAAATGGGAAATAATATTGATACAAGATCAATTCAAAATGTGGCTGTGAACATGGAAGACAGTAGTCAATAAACTAAACATAACTTAAGAACAGTAAATCACATAATAATAATAATCTATAGATCAAAATGAAGCTTATAATAAAAAGAATATAGATATACACAATCTAGTTACTGGACGGTTATACAATAACATATATATATATATATATATATATATATATATATATGTCAAAGGGGAACACTTAAGCTGTATTCGACTTAATATTTATATCCTACTTATGGAATTGAATGAATGGATTCTTAGCAATCAAAGTTATGTTACATTTTCTTGAATAATATAGACCTGTTAGTCATTTTTCCATATATTTACAAGCTTCAAATAGTTGTGCATTTTTATGTGAAGGGACAATCCACAACATGTAAGATCAGCAATAGAACTTGAGTCTAGATATTCTATAGCTTTTTTTCTTTCCAAACTTTGATCATCTTTTATTATACACCCAGAGTGAGATGGACAAATTAAAAACACACACACAATCCGATTAAATTATTCGAAATATTTCCTGGGCTAATCGACTATCTTGTCTAAAATAACCTCAGCGTCGATCGAACTCGACTCCACATATACCTTATTGATGAGGATCGAATATCACAAATCCTAGATTTAGCACTTAAGATCCATCGTTTACAACCAATATGAGTTTAATTCCAGTCATTCAATCATAAACGACATAGAGCTTGACACAAATATGAGTTGGACAAAGTTGTTAGATTAATTTAACACGATTCTATGTAATTAACGAGATGAAAAGTAAGAAGTTCAAATATTATAGTAGCAAACATATTAAGTTAAACACAATGCAATGATAGACATGAAAAAAAAATACTGAGACTCAAGATCTAGGGAAGATAAAAAAAGAATTCATCTTGATCACTTTGACCGATTCTGAACAATGTTAATCGAAATCTCTAACCATTGACTAGCGGTTAATGCACTAACACCAATCTGATAGTAGTCTAAATCTAGCAAAACATAACTCAGATCAATAGTCATTTATTTCATGGACATACATAATACACGACAATATCTAGTAACTTAGACACAAGGTCACACATTGCAATATGGTAACAACCGTAGTTATCCTTAAAGTGAACATTGATTGAACGATGAACAAAAACAATCGGACCACAAGAAATAGTAACAATAACACTGATCTTATTGTTTATTTTCAGAATAAAGAAGACTTATTTAGACAACATACTTTCAACAAAGACTGTGTTTTAGAGTGATCAATGTGTAGAATAGTACATTAATTATCAAAACTAAAAAAAATAACTACCACATTATTTTAATTGAAATGAAATAATTTTCTAGTACTGTTTAAGTACAAAAAACAAAACAGTATAAAGGTCATTTTGATAAGGAATAGATTTCTCTAGAAATAAGTGAATAATTTTTTTCTGGTTAGCGTTTTTTTAGCGAGTAAGTTTTCTACGGGATGAGGTCGCTAACCCCATGCCCAACTCCCCTCCTTTATCCGGGTTTGGGACCGGCAGTAGCCTCCGGAGGGACTCCAGGCGGAAACCTGTAGAAGTACGAAAGCCATCATCCAGAAGATACAGGTGTTTATTAACAATTGTCCACGCAAAATACTTCGGATCCGGACACTATCAGCAACAACCTACTATGCGCGATAACAAACCAGATCCCAGTGGAGGAAGAAATCAGGGAGAAACGCCGGAAGTGGATAGGACACACATTGAGGAAAGCAGCCAACTGCGTCACAAGGCAACCCCTCACATGGAATCTTGAAGGCCAAAGGAGGAATTGTAGACCAAAGAACACATTACGCCGAGAAATGGAGATGGACGTGAGTAAAATGAAAAGAATTGGATGGAATTAGAAAAGAAGGCACAGGACAGAGTGGGTTGGAGAATGCTGGTCGGCGGCCTATGCTCCATTAGGAGTAACAGGCGTAAGTAAGTAAGAAATAATTGAAGAGGTAATCTATGACTGGAAATTATTGCTAAAGACTTCAAAGTATGCGAAAAATTTCACTCATAAAATTCAAGTTACCAGTGTCAGTGTAGTGAAAGAGAACTGTTATAACTTGTGATCTCAAAGTTACCATTCATTATGTTTATCGGGACCTAACAATAAATCAGATGGAGCCAACCAACTATAATTTAATACAAAATTACAGTTCTTTCATCAAATGTGAAAACCATATGTTCAATATTTCATTTACAAATTCTCCATCAATAGTCTCAAATTTCATCATTCCTGTTCTCTTCGATTCAATTTTCCCGAACTTCTACTACCAGGTCTTCCACTTCCGATAGGTGTTATATACTACTTATGTCGACATAAGTAGCATACGCCACACCAGTAGTAAGTATTAGATATATCACTAAATATTATTAACATCAATAAGCAAACGTTTATTTACGTACAAATTTAAAATGCACTTAATAGTAAGAGGTTTGAAGATCTTACATAGGAACAGTAAACTTATGAATTATTTTTACTGTGCTAAGTATAGAATAGTATTTTATTGATTGTTTTCCAAGTCTCTCAGTATTTTTCTTTGATTCTTGTTTAATTACTAATCACGTTCTAATAATGTGCATTGTATATTAGTAAGAAAACTACCGATTAGCCGAAAAACAACATCTTTGACTGCAACAGAATGAATTTCAGTTTCTATGAAGAACATAATCGATTTCAATACTTCAGAATTACCTTGATAAAGCATATCAGCTAAACAGAGACATAGGTAAAAAGCTTCACATATTTTGACTTCAACCACGTATTTATTATTTATTTTATTTTAACACATAGATATTGGTACAAGAAAGCACCAAATACATATGCGCCACACAAATCTTATTCGATATGTGCGAGGGCTGTGATACTGCCCGGGTGCCCAAACCGAAGCAAGTGATTTTCTTAGGAGGCCACTCCCCGAGCCTTTGACCTAGAGGTCTGATCCACAAGGCAGTGGAGCATCGTAAGGAGATGCAGTCCCATGGTAGCCGGTGACCAACGATTGGTTCATACGCCATTTGTTCCCGCAGGATACTGGAGCCCATGTGCACCATCAGTTTGGGATCCGGTTAAAGCGCCGGACATTCGCTTTTCGTCCTCTCATTTTTGTAAATAACACCCCCGCCACGAGAAGGCAGTGAGTAGGACTTCCCTGGCAGAGGCTATATACGCGTGGCCGTGTGAGAGCATTTCGAGAGGGAGAGCGGACTTTCCCCACTCTCGGCCGTACCAGGGCATTTGGGGGCTTTCAAATGAACTTACATACATTGTACAGCGACGTCCGTTATTAGCTGTTACTTAGTATAGGGAATAATTACTGGCTTGAGATCAATGAATTTTCAAGTCAGAAAAGAAAATGTTTTCTATAATATGAAAATTTATTTCATGGACCATAAGAGCATTGATTTGCGTCGGTGTTCATAATTAACTGTTTACTGATTGTTTATTCAAATAAAATGGATTTTAGTAATTTTCTTGAAATTTTCTAATAAAGTTTCTTTGGAAACGTTAATGCTTTCAGCTATAAAAGGCATGACAGTGATGACTGGCTTATGATAAGATCACTATTATTATCATCAGTAAATATTTATCAACACATCATCTATAACGTCAACATTGTAGTTTTTGCTATTCTACACAATAACAAAGTTTTACTCCGAAATTTGTGAGATGCATACATTATATTATTTTATTGATTGTTCCACAAATATTCCTGAAGCATGAAAATTTGTATTCATTTTTACTCTGTACCAAAGACTATTGGGTTGGCAAAAATGAAGATCGTCACATCAGCCGACATTGTGTAAAGAAGTAAACAATTTCGTATTTTTGGGAGGAAGATGTATCTGTAATACCATGATTGATCACTCTCATTATCAGTATAGGGGATGTACAGAATTTTGAATTGAGATCACGAATTGGTTTAAGTAAGATTACCATTAAAAATCTGGAAGTGCTAGACATCAGATGGTGGTTGAAGATAGTCAAGAGGAAACCCTGGACACGGTTTTCGTGCTACTTGGCACTCGTCTGCAGGGTGTACCTGTAATCTTGAGGGAACTGGTGCTCCCTGACGGACTCGATTCCGTGTCACCCAGCTTCACAGTCAGAGACGTTACCACTGGGCTATCCGAGCCGTGACCGACCTCCTGTAGGACTGAGATGTAATCACAATTGATTGATCACTGTGGTATATATATATATATATATATATATATATATATATATATATGGCCGGTGACCTTAGCGTCCATAGATAACTAACTAGCAGTAGGCTCATACAATTACAAAACTAAGTTTTCGATCTCATTCGAACAGAACAGCAACGACAAAAAACAACACGAGTCAAAATATCTTATAGTTTCTTTTTTATTTGGAGAAAAATGATACAAATATACAAAGAACAAAGCATGTACACTTGTATAGAGTAAAGAAAATTTAGCCTGTTTTGTGCAGTGTGTTCAGTGTTATTTTTGATGTTTGGGACGACTCTGTAAGAAAAAACGACAAATAGAAAAGTATAATTTAGTGAATTGGGATCAAAGAATCAATTAAATGCATAGATACATTAAATAAGTATTTAAAACATGTGGAAATATTGTACACACAAACACTACAGAAAATTATAATTACATTAATAATGATGATTTAATTCAATTATTTACTTCAGATTTGTACAAGACCATGGATTAATTGAAGTCAGATATTAACATCTTTGGATGTCGGTTCAGTGGTCTAGAAGTTAAGCGTTCATATGCGAGATCGAAGGTCCTGTGTTCAACTTCAGAGAGTGAAATCCTGGATGGGAATTGTTGACGAGTCCCATACTAGGATGGAATGGCCGCCCTGTGTTTCCAGGTTTTCAAAAATGGTCTAGTTTAGATCGAATCCTTAATTCAACTGTAGAAATACATATATTCGTAAGAATTTATGGAATGTAAGTGCCCTAGAAATTTAAGTACGCAGTTGCGAATTGAAATGGAGAATAATAATATTAGTTTATTTTAACGACCTACAAGCAGAACTCTTATTCTTTCTTTGAGAATTGTTTTGATTTCAATTTATGAGTGTAAAATCAAAAGTACAATAAAAGATAATTACATATTTGAATTAAAATTAATTATTTTTAATATATAAAGATACCTAATCATAAAGTAGGAAAGGAAACTTTTGTGCATGTGTATACACAGACTACAGTAATTTAATGATTAATTTAAAGGATGCACAGCAGTTCATTGTTCATTAAAGCTGTGAAACTTGAACTATGAGAGAAAAAGAGAAGTATCAGCTAAAGTATTTAAATTATAGGTATTATCAAAGGATTCCTCGAATTTTGTAGAATGAAAAAGTGGACAATGTTGTTGAGGTTAGGTGAAAATGACAAAATCAGTTAATGATCTTGTAAACCTTTATCGACTAAGGTAGTCAGAACATTTGTTACATATGTTTAATCAACGCTCACTTCGATGGGCAATATTGTCTAACATAGGAGTAAGTTGGAAGAAAGTTAGTGAAAGTCAAACTAAGATATGGTATTAGTCCATAAGTTTATTGAATTTTGGACAGAGCACTGTTGGTAGATCCAGACCAAATGGTTGTGGCTTGTGCAAGAATTGTAGTCGCAGACGTTGAATGACATTACTCTGAATCGTTCACAATGACACAATTATATTTACTTAGTATTTTTCTTTGAATTTTCAGTTCTAGTATCCCGTCGAAGATATATTTCCACTCTATTTTTTCGAACCGTACCTTCAATATTCATTAATTCTCATTATGATTGCTATTACATTATTTCGATCACTTTTGCAATTCATATTGTTAATTGCATTTCCTTGCGCTAATTGAGTAATGGCAACTTGTGTCAGCATACATTCATGTCGAACTCTAAGTTGATTAAACTTACTGACAAGAATTTCAACTGTTGGTTATATTTTAGTTGAAAGGGTTATATAGAGTGTGGTATAATTTTTAGATAACATTGAATACCAGGGAACATTTGATAGCTATTCCATTCTAGTATGCGGTTCTTAGTAGCGTGCACTCTCGACCCCCTTCTCCTATGAGTTATTCTGTGGTGAGTGCAACCTACAAATTACCTCAATCTCCACAGAACCATCTCAACTAATAATAATCACTCAACTAGTAGAGTTTCGAAATGCTGGAGGTGAAAAAGTTATCACCAATTGTATTGGGATGATCATTGAGTTATGTCGAAAATCCATTGAAATTGACATTGTACTACTGGACACTAACTTGATGGTTTAGATGGTTAAATGTTCGTCACAAGGCTTGAAGGCTCTAGGTCCGATCTCTACTGGAGTTGTGGGTGCCAACTTCTGAGTTATATATAAGAATGAAATGGCTGTTTGGTTCTACGTTTGAAAAACAGCATCCATATTTTGATCTTCGGTAGTCCAGTAAATTAGTAACACAAGTCCTTGACAAAAATAAAAACCCCAACTTTAAATCCAATGCTTAATGAGTTGTATGAGTTCAACAACTTCTCAACTTTCTATTTTTTTTCGAAGGAGAAAAACAACGTGTAGGTCAATTTATACTATGGCGATTTCAGATACATGGTTGCTTTGTGATTGTGAAGCAAAATACTCCTACTGTCTACAGATAAATAAGATATTTCATTCAACAACAATGATAATCACTTATCAATCGGAAACTGAAACAAATTTTAAAACCAAAACTAACTTCAAAGTACATTATATAACACATTACATATTTGATATAATAGGAAAGCCTGAAATTTACGCTTGTAACGTTTATTTTTCTGGTTGGAATCATGAGTCAATTGAAGCTAGACCGACATAAAAAACCTGGAAGCACTGGACGGCCGTTTCGTCCTAGTATGGGACTCCTCAGCATCCACGACCCTGCATCTCGCGAGACTCGAACCCAGGACCTGTCAGTCTCGCGCGCGAGCACTTAACCATTAGACCATTGAGCCGGCATCCAACGGTGTTAGCGTCTATCTTCAACCAATCCACGAAGTTGCACCACCGTACACCATTGTCTTCAGTGAGTTCCTATCTCACAACAGACCTGGTTGAACTCCACTGCTAACGACTTCTCTTTAGAACTCCAGGAGTGTCTCCTGAAGTCAGTCACTAGTGTGCAGGTGATTATTATTATTATCAGAATGAGTTTTGTGGAAATTTTTAGAAGTTTCACTGGTTGAAATCATGAGTCACTTGAAGCTAGACCATCATGGAAAACCTGGAAGCACTGGACGGCCGTTAATATTTTGTATATAAGCTTCTTATTTTGTTACAAAAATAGACCCTATTCAGCTGGACAACTTTCTTTTCCTCTGATCTCAAGTTCAATTAAAAATTTACTTGAATAGTTCAGTCTCATAAAAAGTTATCCACTTGACCATATCGTACATTATCAACAGATTAGTATATTTCATCCATAAATTTAACACTTTTCATTACAAATGATAAAAAGCTCCATTATAACAATATTATTAACATCTCAACTTATTTATCAAGTACACGTTTATCCAGTTGACTTTGAGACAAAGTTAATTGATAAAGATTAGTGTATAATATTAACAGTAACAATTATAGAAACAGAATAGAATTGAAGCAAATAAATTCCGATAATATGACGTATCATTTAAAATTTGGATGCATTAATTCACTACAACAATAATGATGGATATTACCTGGTAACTACTATGAATCACTGGTATAGGGTTTGTGGAGATTATTAAGTTTTTGATTAAGATCATGAATCGATTGATGTTAGACCATCACCTTTGGAAACCTGGAAGCACTGGACCGCCGTTTTTTCCTATTGTGGAACTCCTCAGCAGTGCGCATCCACGATCCCGTCCGCGGGATTCGAACCCAGGGCCTTCGGTCTCGCGCGCGAACGCATAACCTACTGGACCATTGAGCCGGCATCCAATGGTGATAGTGTCTAACATCAATCAGTCCACGAAATTGCGCGACCAACTTCCGTTGTACTGAGGTAGATAGCTGTCTCTACTCGACAAAGATTAGCTCTACTAGTCACGGCTTTTCACTAGAACTCCGAGAATTTCCTCACGAAGCTAGTCACTAGTGAGCACATGTTGATTACTAGTATAGGGTTTGTGGAGATTATTAAGCTTTTGATTGAGATCATGAATCATTTTAACATTTAATAAACAAATAAAGAAAAAAGAAGTAGCGAAAAGGATAACTCACAAATAGAAAAAAAATTACCGAAGCGAATAAATAGTTTCAAATGAACAATAATGATAATAATAATGGCGAAAAGTAATCTACATAAAAATATCAAATTTTTGCTTTTAAACACTAAATGTCTTATAAACAGTTCACATTCGTCCTAGATATCGGAGACAAAACAAGCATTTGAGTGTAAAAAGAGAAAAAAATAAATATGGCAGTAGAAAAGAAAGCTTGAAAGAGTTCGAACAAAAAAACAACGACAACAAATGATAACAAGCTACTGTGTTTGTGTGTGCATAGACGAGTGAGTGAGTGAGTGAGTCAAAGAGGGAAGGAGGACAATATCTAACATCTCTTTATCAAGAAATAAATATGAGCAGGCAGGTACAGAAATATTTATGATAAACGTGCACGGCCACACAACCACAAGTATATAAGTTGTGAACAAACTGAAAATTGGACAACTCCAAGTATAAGGCTAACTCTAACCACTGATCCCTATCTTGTATGAAATAATATATTGTGTTCGAATAACAAGGCAGTAGTATTCTGACGAAACAGCGAATAGGGATAGGAGACTGATAAAACTGATAGACAAAGAAAAAGAGGAAGAAGAAGACGGGAAATGTGAACCAATATTGAAATGAAAGAAATACTGCCACTTTAGTTCACTTGTTATTATTACTGTTGTTCCATGGATCAAGGCCTCCCACGAACAGAAAATAAATCGACCGGTTAACCGACAAAAATGAAATGAACGAATAAAATATCAGGTTTATTTTATTTTATACTCATATAGTATTTTCGCTAGCCTACTCGTACGCACACACACACACATCAGAAAAACATCAATAATAATCGTGTTGCATAATAACGAGAAGAAATTCTCTTGTAAAAGTAAATAATAATGAATTGCCATTCGATGAAATAATAGTAGTGGAGGGGGGGAGGTGTAATTGAAGTGAGAGAATATTTTCGGTAGATGTAAATGTAACAAGAGTAGAAAAACCGTTACAGTTGTCTATTGATTATGAAACTAATTTTAAGACAAAACGTAAAACAATAAAATCGAATAAGAAGAAAATGAATGATATTAACAGGACAACAATGACGATGACAATAATAACCAGTTTTGTTGCGTCATCATAGCGTAACCCACTATACAACTAACATGCAATTTCCTTTTGTAGTTAAGTAATGAAAAACTTAGACAAAATAATTTATTAGAAAAGTCAGTCAGTAACAACGTAGAACTTCGTACGTACGTACATCAGTTCCAGTTGCCACACCACATTAGCACAGAGATGCAGTGGTCGATTCAAATCCCGTAGTGGTAGAGGTAATAAGAGTATAAGCAGTAATCGGGAAGATTAGGGTTTGGAGATGTTACTTAAAGAGTATAATACAGTGAAATAAATTTGAGAGGAGAAAAAGAAAAGAGACAAGGAGGAATAAGGAAATCAAAATTTGGGAGAACACAAAGAGTGGATGCACCTGCGCCATTGTAAACGATTTTGAGCCATGTCATTCAGGGTCTCTAACCATCGTTTGCTATCATCTCGCGGTCCCCAACCAGGTAGTCTACACCTACCAACATCACTCAGACCACTTGTCAGTGACTTCATGGACTTGTGCCATGTTTTGCTCTGGCCGCCCCTAGCTTTCTTCAAACCTACTCCTATACCACTGAACATCGCACGTCGAGGCAGTCGGTTGTTGGGCATACGTACCACGTGTCCCAGCCATCTCAACAAAGACTACGTCTAGTAGTCATGTCTAAATTTTGTTGAAAAATAAGTAACAACACAAAAAAATATTTGCGTTTATGATAAACCTCATTACTTAAATGCTTGAATCTGACATTCTAGATACTTTCTCTAACCTTAGACTACTTCTACATGCGAATTTATACAATAGGGGAAAGACATGAAACATGAGTAAAAGCTTTACTCCAAGGTTAATCGAATTTATTCATAAATTTCTAGATGACCTTTACAAACTTACTAAATATAGTTATAAAATGGGTAGATAACCCATTGAAATGTAGCATAATGTTTTGGGGGCGCATTTATTCTTGCTGATGAGCTAAAATACTTTCAATTTTTCCTGAGATTTTAGAGTCTTTGTCAAGAAATATTTCTAAATCCTGGTAAAACTATATTATACCAGTGAATCAAACAGAAGGAAGGTACCGGTTATTGGATTTTTGCGGATAATTCAAAGGCAACGATGGACGATTTGTACCTTCTTAAGAGTTGAGTAAAAATTGTTCATACTTAAGTCATAGGCTGTTTAAAATTGACAAAAAAAATTTTTATGCAATAACTTGTAATTATAACAGCGAGTACTTCTTTTTAACATGGATTTTTGCTACTTTCTGACTGGTTGCTACCATTTTTATTGTATATCCTAACATCATGTTCTGTGACTATATATACACAGAGTTATTCTGTTTCAAACTATTGTTTGTCAAACATCAAGTGTCTTTTGTGTTACTGCCTTAATCTTGGGTTTTACCGTTGACGATTATTGTTGCACTGTTATGTGTCAGTCGTTTGCGTCTTGTCAAGTGAACAAATAATTCCATTTGTATTTGAACTATCTTGATCGTTCCTAAGTAGAAATCGATTTAAAACTCACGTACGGAAACTTTATGATAATTGTTTATAAAGATATAACAGCGGCGCAATCAAAGAACATTCAGGATAACTCCCAAACCTTCCTTATTATTACCAAAAAATATTTTGAAAAATAATTACATTCATGAAACTGCTTTGATTGTTGTTTTAGCAGTATTCAAAATCAATAAAACTCGACTGATTGATATGAGTTTCAGAAACAAAAAAAGACAGAATCACAATTGCAAAAAGTCATATGAATACACTAAACTGATCATTGTGATTTTACATTATAAACTATCCATGAATGGCCAACCATGAAAAGCCAGGAAGAAATGAACAGCTATTTTATCTTAGTGTACAACTTTTTAACGACTTCACTAAAGAGCAAACTGAGTACAGTTACGCCTAGAAGGAAACGCTTAACTTTTAGACTATTGTGTTGGTATTCACACATCAGTCAATTCACGAATTTTGAACCACTATGAAACAGGTTCAAATCTATTTTATGCCTTACGCTAAACAGGTAATTTGATAGGTGATTACAAAAACAAAAGATTATATTTAGAGTTGAACGTGTGAAACCATGTTCGATACAACATTAATAATAATAATAATGCTAGTATAATTGAAAGAGTTTTGTGGAGATTGGTTTATCGTGTAGATTATATTTATTGATATGTATATTGATAGCAATGTTATTATTATTATTTATTATTATTAGCTTTATTCAATATTATAATTTTCGTACAATATAGAATTCTCAGCGCAAAGTATTTCAACAAGTTTCCGTTTCTTTCTTCTTGGTCGGTCGTGGCGATAAATATTGAGGAATCGCCAGTTAGATGTTAGCACTTCAGTGAATGAACAACTGAATAATGTACATTCTTTTCGTTGTACATTGTCAGCAACCATATTGTCTCTTATTGAGTTTTCTGTAACTTTGACAACGAAAGGTTGTACACTTTTCAGAAACGCAGCAGAATAGGTTATGCGATTAATAAACATAATGATATATTAAAACAAACAACAATAGATAACTTGTTGAAATATCTAGATGGCAGGAACAGGTAGCCCAGATGCTCAAGCAGGCCGCCAACGTAGCGATACTAATGGTTAAACGTTTATTGATAGATGTAAATCTTTCGAGTTTATCTTCTGGTGGTGTTATGGGCATCTATTAATGAGAATTAGTCTCACATATAAGATACGATCAATCTGTGATGAATACAACCTATATATAATAATAGTAATTGCATTGTACTTAGCTTTCTTTTTTCACAGCATCAAGATATCTTCAAATAGAAAATATACAAATATCAGGCAAACATATTTTGTGAATCTTCTTGATGAAACAATCAAACATGACTGATTAAAATCGAATAGATATGTGTGCACAAACACAAAAATAAATCAAATTAATATTTTGAAAAATAGAATAATAAAACAAAAGAAATACGCAACATCAACATTGAATAAATATGATATCACCAACTTACTACACGAAATTCTTTAAACTTTTTCACTGGTCGCTTTTTCTTCTTTGAAGCACTATTTGTTGAAGATTCAACAGGTGCTGTGTTGAAGAGCGATGTATAGTCAGCTGAAGAATCTTTTTTTTGTGGTAAAATTGAGAAAAATCAAAACAATAGATGGAAAACATACATTACTGGGGTTAAACAAAAAAGCCAAACGCACTCTAGTGCTATGAAATGAATAAACATATAGAATGAAATTAAATGATATTGTGTCTGAGTTTCTAGAAGGGAAATATTATAGTAGAGTTATTAGACCTAATATTCTACTGCAGTAATTCCTTCATCATGTTATATACATATAAGCATAATCAATATACTACCCACAGTAAGTTGGTTCCCAATAATGTCTTTAAATTCTCAACAATGTGTCTAAAGAATATTTCTCTCTGTTATTGTTTTGGATTGATTTAGGTACTATTGTAAATTAATTTATTTTATAAACATTCAACTATTTTCTAAATTTTGGTTCAAGTTGCTGGTAAATTACGATGTGAATTACTCAGACAATACCAATATCTTTATTCATTTCCTGGTTCTAAGTAAAAGTTGATTGTGTTTATTTGATATCTATTTGACAGATAATAAAAAATTATAATCAAGTGATAACCATTGTTAATGTTTGGAGACGCGCTTTGTAACAAGACTCCAGATTTGTTACAATTACTCGGGTGCATTTACTGACTATTTTAATCTAAATCTTGAGCCACATTATTGTTTCCTACATCTCTTTTGATCCTATATTTTTAAAGAATATATTATCAATGTTTAGTTATTCTTATTATCATGACTGTCACATGATTTCGACTCGTTTACTATTTATTTTGTCGATTTCATCTCGTCGTGTTAATATGGTACGGTGATTAGGATCAATCCACACTTGTACGAGACTCTATGTAAACTACGGTTGACCTGCTTTATTATTATGAACCATAAATTTTGTTGCAGTAAAAGAATTCTCTGTACTAGATATGCAATATTGTGAGAGATTCTTGCCTAAGAATTCAAATACACATCTTCTAGATACTTTCTTGATAATTAGCATCTGTCATCCATAATCTTCGATCATAAAACCTTTCTATCGATTTAGCTGCAGTAACCGTTTTGTTCATTGCTCATGTATATGAAGTGATTGAAGGTAATTGGCAAGAACTGATAGATCTAGGTATTATGCTAGTTAGCACTTGTCAGCAACCCCTATCAAAAATCTTGAGGAAACTCGTGATCCCTGCGGGATCTGAACACGAGCCAAACAATTTCACAATCTCAGATGTTATCACTGAGTTATTCGGGCCTCAAGAAACCATGACAGATGTAAAAAGTATAGATTCCAGTGTGATTGCCTTTCATTTATTAAAACAGTGGACGAAAATGTAAAATAAATTGACAGTTGTGGTGTTTTCGCCCAATGCTTTAGGCATTTAACACCATAATAGACCATATCGCTTTTTTTAGGATAAATGAGTGAGTACATACACGTTTAGAACTAATAACGATTCAGTTAAAATAAAACCAAAATGGGAAGATTTGTTGGGCTATTTGCACAGTTGGAGAAATAAATGGACCAAACTGTTGGAGGGCTGATCCAAATAAATATTCCAATTACATGTTGGAGTTGTCGCAACGACAAATATTATACCTTACTATTATTGGGACCGTTAGAGTATACGAACATCAATTACTTTTATTAGTAACTATGTTTTGCACTGTAATGTTTATTTATTTCGTAATATTCCCTTCGATATGAAAGTTTTACTAAAATATTCCCCATCTCGTTCTAGTCTAATTTGAATGGGGCTGTTATTAATTGAACAATAATTCGATCAATCAGAGTCACGTTAGATTTCACTTTCTGACTGGAAAATTTTTTCAATCGTTATCCTGTATTGAACTTTAATCAAACAAAATAATATGTCGATCCACAACATAAATGTTTAAGCAAGCTATTGTCACTGCCGCCTAGTATAGAGATATGAAGCTTAAATATAAACTTACGAATCTATACTGTTTATACACACTAGAATATTCATGAACTGGAAAGAAATAAGAACAAAATAAGTAAATATATACAAACCTAATTGTTCAGGACTAGATTCACATTTAATTAAAATGGATACATCATCCATTTCCATATTTTTATTGGGATTGCTTTGATGACTAGAATTGCTACCCTGTCGCAGTGTTGATTTTTGTTGTTCATAAGTTTTCCTGCGTCTTTTACCCTTGGTGTTTGTCTAATGATAAATGAGAACAAAGAAAAAGACAGATTAAAATAATGAACACAGAAGTAGTCAATCAACCTGTCATAATCAACGTACAGATTGATAAAAGTATGGATTCGTTGAAGATACCAAACCACTCATACTGAGTGAAGATAAATGAAATTTACGAGTTGAATAACACGGGAGTCGAGATCGTTTAGAATGAATCATAAAGTAGGAATGAAGAAAAAAATGCTGGGGTTCAACGTTTCGAGGGAGATAACGATTGAATGAATATACACTAGCATAACCGATTTCGAACCACATCATCCGACATTTCCAATCAGAGATGGCGATTATTGTTTAAACCCCAATATAGTAGTAGTCCGCACCTATAATCATAGTCTAGATTGAAGGTTGATGGTATTGTGGACTAAAAACATGTCATCGTTTATCAGTCCGTAGCTTTCTTTCAACTTATTCTTACACCAGGCAACAGTGTACGCCAAAATAAGTGAAAACCATGTAATACATGTACCAAACACTTACATTGATCAAAACTTACAGCCTTATCAGAAGACTTACCATCTTTGACTAGTGATTTATACCTAAACTCATTACTGCTTTTATTAGGTCGTTTCATAATTCGCGATCAATCCTTCGGCGATATCTATGATCAAAAACCTGATACTGAATGTTTCCATGATCCATATTTCGAAACTTTATTTGACGTACCATTACCCACTCCCACAAAAAAGGGAGATCTGATGGGAATTCTACCATTAAGTTAAGTGGCTTATACTGCTTATAGAATTACACAACTAACAATGTGAAGGTTGATATAATAAGGAGATGAAAACGAAATGTTAAAGACCAAAACCAGACATAATATTCACTTTAAGACTAATTAGCATTGTATGACTAAACAGGAGTTTTAATACATCGAAAAAAAATTCAGTCTAGACATTCATTTATTCATGTGAATTACTTGGTCACCACTAAAGGTCAAATTAGATGTAAAATATTACCTTTCACCTCATTCATGGTGTCTGTTGAATTTGATCGAATTTGTGCTCGTGATATATATATAATTCAAGAATAAGAAAATCGGTTAATAATTATATTGGAACTATGTTTTATTGTCACTGTGTTGTTCATTAAAACTTGATAAACATGATGAATTATTGAATAAACAATAATTTATAATACACATTTATCGATATCAAAGGATCGTAGCTCGAAGGTTCGCAAACAAATATTTAAGGTTTCGCGTTTGATTCACCTCTACATGATTGTGATTGTGATAGAAATGGAGTTCGAAAAGAAGCTAAAGGCGGACAGAACAAGATGTGGAATCATTTCATGACTGATGTTCGTTGACATATCAGTAGGTTCAGGCTTCTTAGTTAAAGGTGAAGGAATAATTGAGGTACAGTTACTAGTATTGCTCAATACTGATGACAATGTTGAAGTTTCAATGATAATTCTTTTCTTTCTAGCTATCACCTCAAAGGTTTTCCTTCCTCGGTTTCATTTACTGATTTTGAACTGTACTATTCATGATTAGATTAATATATCAGTTGAAATTAATTTCCTTTCTTTCCTTCATATCGTATTAATTTTCTTTTTCTCTATAGTAAACATATGTTACGCATGTATTATGTAGCCCTAACAACTAACAACCTCAACTGATAATGTTGTCCGATGTAGGAGTAGGTTGACAGAAAGCTAAAAGAGGCACATGCACCAGTTCATTAAATCGTTGACTATTTGACTGAGCCATGTAGGCAGTTACAAACTACTTGGTTGAGGTCCATATAATTATCGTAACCAGTGGTTAGAGGCTGGGTGACATGACTCAGAATGTCACAGGTACACACAAAATATGTATTTCCTAAGAACATGAGTCTCGAAATCTTGTAATACGTTCCATCTTTTATAATTAATTCGTTCTGATACTACTGAGAAACAGTTTTATCTTGCTATGTTAATATGGTATGGCAACTTGAACCGATGTAAAGATGTGTCAGATTCTACACTGAGTATGACTGACTGATTGAACTGACACATACACAATGGATATGATTATACCATGAGTATAATTTTGAATAAGATTCTAACAAATATTCGACGGAATATGTACAGTACACTATAAGTAGATTATGGAAGAAAAACACATAAACATAATCATGATGAAAATGCCTACTTTTTCATTGCACAAAAGAACCACTTCATCATCACCGAAGTTGGGTGTTGCTCTAACAATGATTTCACTGTTGTGTGATCGTTTTAATTTGTTGGAATATCCATTATCAGAAGCAATAGAATATTGACTATCATTCATACACGAACTATCTTGAGTTGTATCACCATCCAATTTTATTAGGTGTTCAGCTGAAAAGTAATAATATACCAAAAGTAATTCATGGTATCATTGGAGAAAAATTAAAAACAATTCAGCGAAAAAGAGTTTTCTTTTCAACGATAACATTTACTCAAGTTGGCTAGTCGCATTTATTGATAACTAACAATTAAAGTAGTCGATTAAAAAACAGAATAACGATTATACTATATCATGCATCAAAGAAAATGGCTTAACGATTGAGAATTTGAAAAAAGATAATAAGATGAAATTAAATTCTCGATTATCAAACAATTTTCTTTGGTATATGTTATGATGTAGTCGTTCCTATAACTTTCAATAGGCTAGTCGAATTATCAGCATGGGGATTTGTGGAGATTGTAGTATTTTCACAGTTGAATTCACGAGTCATTAACACCGTTGGATGCCGGCTCAGTGGTCTAGAGATTAGGCGTTTGCGTGCGAGATCTTAGCTCCTGGGTTCGAGTTCCGCGTGCGGGATTGTGGATGCGTACCGCTGACAAGTCCCATATTAGGACGAAGCGGCCATCCAATGCTTCCAGGTATTCAATGATGGTCTAGCTAAGATCAACTGGTGAACTGGACTTTGAAAAGACTACTTTATTAGTTATTTAACAATAAATACGAATATACAACGTGAGTAAATGATATCGTTGAAAAGAAAACTCTTTTTCGCTGAACTGTCTTTAGTTCTTCTTAACTAGTGATAAATTCATGATAATTGCTAATAAACAAAGAGAAATCAGAAACATTTAATATAACATGATACAGGAAAATAAAACCAACGGATACTTTTTCAATTTATGCTGAATATGTATAATAGCCATTGAGTTAGTTAGTTACCAATGTAGTATTTATTTAGTTTCATTGTGTTGACAAAATTTTAGTGATCAACTGCAAATCGACACAGTAGCCTAAATAACTGGACATTGTACGGAAACATTTGTATATTACATGGTCGCTAGCTTGACGTGTTGGTCGGGCTTGCCTATTGTGATGACCCAACAGAGCTAAATCAGAAAAATTGTATGAAAATTCAAATCTATCCGATTGCCATAGCTGTTACTTAACTGGTTAGTTCTGCTTTTAGTTTGTCATTTTTGCATTATATATCAAGGTCGCGTTTGTTGCTCCATAAACAGAGCTGTTTTATTATAATGTTGACTTCTTTTGAAAACGTTAAAACACCCCTGAAAGAATTCTCTCTCTGTATGTGTTATTCGCGTGTGGTTTATTAACATTGAAGTATTGTAATGTACAAGTGATTAGAAGAATCTCCCAAACATTCGTAATTCGGAATGATCGTAGCCTATCACAAAACATAACAAGGGTGTATCAACAATATTGCAGAGAAAGATACTCACTATGGGTATCAAATTTACGTCACAGTCAGAAATATTACCACTACGTTGTTCAGGAGGTGACTGACTTCTGTTGTCGTCTTTTTGGAGTTATTGGAATAGGGAAAAAATTAATTCTGAAAAAAAGTCAGCTTTCTGGAGACAAGAATAAAAAACACATAACTTTAAGACTTGATTCAAATGCCGATTTGTGCTTGGAAAGGTGTATTCACTAACTGCATTTGAAGAGAAAATAAAATCACCTTCAGTATTTAAATTTTATACATCACAATTTTACATTAGTTAGTCAATTAAAAAGAAACATTTCACACACACAAAAATAGCATTGTACTCTTACATGTGTTTAGCGTATCAGAGGATTCTTGTAACATTGTTTTTTGTGAGACAACAGTTGGAACAGAGGTATTTGTATCTTCAGACGATTTATATTCAGTTGTAAGTGGAGAACATGGGAATTTAAGTAGTTCCAACAGCTATTTAGAGTAAAATAAAAATGAATATGCGTTGATAATTGCCGAAATCTTTAATCATAAATATATTTACGTAATGATACCTGAAACTATGCACTAAAACACACAATGGCGATGTCAAATTTTCCTATTGAATCTCGAATACGACAGGTAAATGTCACAAGTTCGAAGTATGTAAACATTTCAATAATCAGTTGTAGGCCAGAACTTTATACCAGAAAGTAGAAAGCTCAGTCAGTTATGTACTGTTAAACAGAATACTGGTAGTTTTCTATACTCACAGATGATTGTTTGTTAAGACCGTCTATGTATTTACTAATGAGAATATGGAAGAGATAAACAAGTCTCCATTGAGAACATTTAAACACTGAAACAAATTTGCCGTAATAACTGGTTTAACAGTCTTACAACGTTAGACTGAATATTTTACAGTTTACTAATATCCATCATCAACTTATTTGCTTGTCAGTTTTTGTACTCAAACAGTTTTTTCTATTAAACAATCCAAAAATATTACACTTGAGTTCATATCCATACATATGTTATATAGTCACACAATAACAATACAGACAAAACAACAATGCAATAACGCAGGAGAGATAACTTTGATCATTAAGCTTTTCATCGAATCCCAGTGTTACACATCCAACTACTTTTTGCTTTAATACTAGCTAGGTTCTTATTCATTAGATGAATGAGTACCTAAAAAGTTAGTTCTGTTCGATTGTTTAAAACGTCTAAGCATGTGGATTTTGAGATATTTTGAATATAGATATGTTATTTTGTTTGTCGTCTGATTTCACTTCAATTGGAGAGTTACGCCAATGATTTTGTCACATGAACAATTAACACTTCAGTATGTTAGACAGACATCAACAACATAGAACCTGTCAAAGATGTGGGTTAATCCAAGTTTACAGACTATATTGCCATGAGATTCAAATAACAAAAGAGATAGAAATAAGGTAGCAATAATGATAAAAGGAAAGATTAAATTTTGGGAATATAATTTGAAAAGACTGTGAAAGTAAATATCAAGCAATACTATAATTTAAGATTGAGCGGATTATAAAGAATGAACGCATCTGAACGATTCTAATTCATGTCAACAAAAGTATCCAATCACTGATTGTGGTGATCGAGCGACACCCTGACTGATTAATCTTCATTTATCAACATGGCTCAGATCAAACACTTCATGATCTGATGTAACATACCATTCTCCTCCATTGAAAGAATACTATAGAAATTATTGACATGAACAACTAATCATGATGATTAAATCAATCCGATAGATGTTTATGGTTTGTAATCGAACTCAATCAGCCATCGAAAACAACTTAACCGAAGAATAATCATATCCCGGCTAGTGACCAGTTTGATTATCAATTTCCAGACTTCCAATATCAAATTATAGACTGATGCACAATTCACAACTATGTTGATAGTTATTCAACTACTGACATTGGATAAAATATTTATCAAGATATATCACAAATTAAGTGAAGTTGGATACATAGATCATTAGATATTCGAGTTAGTTATTTCAAGGTAAAGTCCTGTCTTCTAACTAATGTGAATTTTCTATTGTTAGGTACTGCCTAGTAGTTCCAAACGGAAACGAACCATCTGTTCAGTTCTCTATAGTTTTCTAGTTATAATCGTTATCCACCATCCATTAGCCCCTACGCAAAAGATCTTCAATCAGTGCATATGTCATACACAGATTCAAACAAAAAAAAATGGAGTGATTAGCTTTAAAAAGATAAAATCATAAACATGACTTCAAAATAAACACACACACACACATCAATTACCTTCATAAGTAATAAATGATTAGGATCAAGAAATTTATCCTTGAATTGTTTGTTTTCCGAAGTCTCATTCATTTCCTAGACATAATATGAAACACAAACACACAGAATAAAAAAAACAGTGATGAGGAGAGGTCAATTATTATAATGAATAATTCCGAACTATCTAAGACATTAAAGTATTCATCAGTTGTACAAGCCAAAAGGTTAAACAAACAAACGATAACCTGTCGTTTTGTAGACTGACGCGTAAACAAATAGTGAGAATATAAAGCACTGAAAAAACTGACAACAATGAAGAAACAAACAAAAGAACTACCCCACTCTTCATCACGAAAACAAAACAGTAAATTAGTCTGAGCACGTTTCTATCGAAATATGAAATTTATAGTAATAAGAATAGAAATTTATATATATAAAAAGTAGTCCGTTTTACAGTCATGTTGGTAAGATGCGTAAACATGTCTTCACAATTTATTTATTTACAATGAGCACACATACGCATTTTATTACAAGTGGATGAAGAGTACTAGTAACGTCAGAATATGATCCAACAACACTTTTTAAAATACTCTAAGTGATTAACAAACTCAACATTTCACATTTTACATGATCCAAAACAATAAGGTAGTATTATTTAAAATTTAACGGATATGAAGTTCGTTACAAACACGTTTAGACTTTAACCTAAGTGGTTCAATAAGTTATGGATTTATGAAGCGTTTTTTTTGTCTAACAGGATATCATTGTTAGATGATGTTTAAGCGAACTACATTCTTCAGTTATTAGTATATCTACGACAAGGATGAACAGTGGTGATGACAGTAGGTACACAATTATGATAACTTATACTTAGAGAAGTCATACTTGCAACCAAATAAATTGTAGATTAAATCTCTGTTTCGATTACTGCAGTTCAAATAACTACTGGGTAGCGTTCTAGTCCTCTATACTAATACAACTTAATAACAAATTACATATACATATCCTCCGTTAACTACCCAGATAGAATTAGGTTCGGTTGATTTTGTATTCATTGTCAAATGGTTCGAAAGACGAAAAACAGGCTACACCAATACAACTAAAACACAAACAGATGACGTGAACGAAAGTTAACAGGAAATCAACATAGTCCCGATGACAGTTATTCCTAATTTGTGAAACAATCTGGGTGCATCAAATGATAACTACAGTTTGACTGAGAAGCCGCATTCAAGTAAGAACTAAAAAGTAGTTTTTACGAAACATTGATTAGTTGTTGACAGTGTAGCAGTGGCTTAGTGCTTGTGAAAGACAACTCCTAACAACTAATAGGTGATAAATTCGAATCCATATATCATGTATTTAGGATTAGACGATCAGATAGCGTAATAACACTAACATTTATACTCATCAAATTATGGTTCAAAGCAAATAACAAAAATCTGTACTTGACAAACGAATCACACAACAATAATAATGACTAGAAATTACAACTTTTGTATCTAGATAATATAATTGTTAGTTTTATTAATAAATAGTAGTTCTGACATTTAAGTAAGGCCTCGGTAACTATTTTACAGTCTATATTTCTGCGTTGAACATTACTGTTATCTTAAAGATTGTCGTTTTTTTAAGCTTGTTACTTTTGCTGTGTTCCAATGTCGTATTTGTTGATATATGTGGAAAATTGTTCTATGACTATTTGAACTTCTCTGAGTATCAAGCTTTTTAGTGAGCTGGTGAATTTTTTTTCAGTCATGTAAGAAATTATTAGCTAAAGTACTCTATATGTTAGTTGTCCTATTCATCTAGTTCACGTAGATTCTACACGTATCGAGAAAAAAGTTTCTCAATTGTTCGTAATTTAAAATGAGCTTAGTTGAAGATCAAAACAGAACATTAATTGATAAACATTTAATTATCAGAAGGGGTTTTGTGGAGATTTTTAGAAATTTCACTAGTTGAAATCATGACTCAATTGAAGCTGGACCACCATGGAAAACTTGGGAGCACTGGACGGTCGTTTCATCGTAGTATGGGACACCTCAGCAGTGCTCATCCATCCCATACTAGGATGAAACGGCCGTTCAGTGCTTCCGAGTTTTCCATGGTGGTCTAGCTTCAATTGACTCATGATTTCAACTAGTGAAACATTTAATTATTAAATTAGAATCGTGAAGTTTCCCAAACTAAAAATTCTATATTATTCTAATATAGAGCCCATGAAACATATTGGTATCAAACATAAAGTAACAATCTAATTGTTGGACACTTTATCCAGTCTGACAAAAATAGATATAGGCTTATGTATTCGGATAACTAAGGTCATGACCGCGAGACATATAGACAATTGAAAAGAAAATAGAAAAAAGAGGAGAAGTAACAATTGATGGAATAGAAAATAAAATAAAATAAATAGTAACGACAGAAATAACAACAACAACAACAACTTAGAAGTGAATCATCATCCGTATTCGTATCTACTGAAACAGCGACAACAGCGTCAGTGAGTAATCAACTACTAGTCAACAAATTAATAATAAATAAACAAACACATATCAAACAACATGCACAAACACATACAGATATACACAATTGTCAGACAAACAAGTCTAGAAATTTGTTTAGTCCAACTAACAAAGCAAATTCAATATACACAGTTAGTTGAATAATGTTCTCGCTTCTCTCTCACATTTTTATTCTATTTTCTTCGTTTATACTTTCGTCTATTCTTATCGGTACATATTTATTGTCTATTCATCAATTTTCAGTGTTGCACTTGTTGTCCATAAATAAATAAACAAGGTCAGACTAATCTCTACAGCACAAAATGGTGTCTTATATGCTAAGAAGGAAAACCGGAACACTGAACAGACATTAAATGCATAGATAATGTATGCAGTAGTTTTTAACAATGAAGTTGTATATTATCATATAGACAGAGATAGACTGTTATGTCCAAAAAAGGGACTAAAATTGAAACAAAGTGTTTTGTAAACAAAATATTGTACTACTCAAATAAACAACAAGTAGATTGATTAGCTAACATATTATAAGGTGAACGGTTTTGTACCTAATTCAGAATTTTTATTTATTTACGATAATTCTTCCTGTTTAAAACTTGTCAGTTGGATATACCTACACACTAATGATTGTGCTTCTGTTGAAACTCGAGCTCGTCGCTTTTCGCCTCAAAAGCCAAAATGTTATTCCTTGAGCTATTGAATCCATACAACCACTATCTTATAGATAAAACGCTGGTATTTGATGCGAAAAATACTGTTTGAGTTTCACTGTGAAATTTAGCACTGCATTCAAAGTACATTGATCTGACAAATTCTGGACAGCATGAAAAATGTGTCCTACATTCCACTGCTAATCACTATTAAATTCTAACGAGTATATATATATATATATATATATATATATATATATATATATATATATATATATATAATGATAACAACTAGATTGATCAGAATAAATATCAAAACTTGATTCATTTATTGTTGTAAATCCCTATAATTCAGTAATATTACTCTTATTAGAAATCAGAACAACAAATGCCTTATTTCAGTTAGTCAGTGTCTTAACAACTCTCAAAGAAATATCAAACCGTTTTTCGTGAAAACCTAATAATCAGTCGAAAACATAACAAAAAAAACGAAATTTTCATAAATCTCCTAAAGTGATCATAATTAAAATAACAACAACTACTAGAAATTATCATTATGGGGTTGTGAAGATTGTTAAATCTCATTGAAATCATGAACCGATCAATGTTAGATTACCACTGAAAATCTGGAAGCACTGGATGGTCGCACAGTATCACGGGTTAATTAAAGTTACACAGTAACACTGCTGAATGCCTCTCAGTGGTCTACAGAATGAACATTCACGTACATTACCCAACGTCTTAGATTTGTTGCAGGGGGCGGAGTCGTGAATAGAAACTGCTGATGAGTCTTATACTAGGACGAGTCAGCCAAAGTGTAGCTCTCAACTTAATCAAGAGGATCCTATGAACATTGTTGGATTTGAAGTCTCACATATCATAGACTGACTTTAGTTAGGTAACCACTAAAATCAGGTAGCACTCACTGGACACCCATTACATCAGAGTATCAGTTCGATCTCCAGTGAGGCTGTGGTTGGGTATTGTTAAAGGACCCTTTACTAGGACGAAACAATTACCCAACGATTATTAATTTCCAATAGTTGCTTAATTATAGGGTCAGTTCGCTGAATTTATATAGTTAATGAGTTGTATTGAATCAAGACAGAGTAGATAAAACTAGAAAATCACACCAATTACCTGTTGTTCATTAACTTTAACTCCCGCTAGACAATGATTCGGTAGTAAGGCTGATGCCAACATTGAAGATTTCCCTGAAAAAAAACATGAATTACAATTTTTTTCTCCATACCTTGGTGTTACAAAAAAAACGTACAATTCAGTGATTGTTGTAACCGTGACAGTACTATAATATTTGGAACTGGCAACTACTCCAATTACCACGGCACAAATATGAACATGTAAACTAATTACACAAGATTTATTTCACCCTTCAAAACATGTCGACAGTACTGTAAGAACATATATTTAAAATATCGTAAAACCGAACATCTGCCTCTAAGATGTGATTACATGTCAAAGGCAGCTAGAAAAAAATCAATGTCGTATACCAATCTCATTGCAACCAAGTAAGTCTGTGCTCATTATATCCGTGATGAAAAATGTAACTGATTATGAAAGTACAGCCTAGAAAAATAACTCGTTATGCAATAGTCCACTACCAAAAAAAACTCCTGAATCCGATAAAAAGAAACAGTGTGATTATAATCGAGCAACCGTTTAACACTAAGAATTCAACCGACTTGGAAACCATTAATTTGTAAGTTCTAATTCTATTCCCGATATAATGGGGCAAGAATTCAAAACAGATATTTTGGGACTAATTCTATTAGAAAGTGAATGACCTATAGTTGTCATATCTTTCTATTATTTATTCCTAAAATGATTTATATCTATTATTGTGTCCAATATTTTGTATGGGACCGTGTACTTGTCTTGTCTTTTCATTTAAGTTCAATTGCGGACTGACGTCAATAATTCAGTCTAACGAACAGTTATCACTCAGTCATACTGCATTATTGTATTTCAGTTATCGATTTGAGTTGGCTTCATTCATGTTGATGCATGAAAACCCATTCATTAAATCATCAATTCCTAACTCATAACAACTCCAACTACTTCCGTCTGCTTAGTCAGATAAAATGTAGCTCAACGCTCATTTATCAAGTACAGATTAGTGTGCATTATTTCAAACCACACTATGAGTGTAAGGACTTGTAATACTACTCATTTGTAGGGAAGTTCAAACCCACGACTTAGGCAGTTAAGAGTGGGACACCTAAACTATTAATCTATCATACCATATAAACCATGTACGTTAGAAAACAGCAGTAACTTACTATTAGTTGATAACTCTATACAAGTGACATCACTATAATCTGGACTGTTTACAAGTAAATGAATTTCACGAGAATAATCATGAGGCAAAGCATATTTTAAGTTTTGCGGAGTTAGTATATTTACAGATGATCGTTTGTCATTTTCTTGTTGTAAATTTGGTTGTGTAGAAGATAATCCTGGCTCTTCAGAAGTGAGAGGCTGTTATGCAACAATAAAAAGAAAAAAAATTATTTCACAAAATGAAATAAATTCTATGCATATACTAGTTATACATTTCTTGAAAAGAGTCAGTCAGTCAGCTGCTTAAGAACGTCAACATATGGAACGAAGATATCTAGAGATCGTTTAAAGATCCCCGTCATATTAAAAGACTAGTATTTGAACGAAGAATATTCTTTTCGATAAATTCTCTTCAGGTCCTACAATTATATATCCAAATTAATAATTCGAAAAATGGACAGGTTAAGAGCAAAGTACATCCTCAAAGTACAATCCTCAATTCACATGCTTTAAACGATGGACTTTGCCCTTAACCTGGTCATTTGTCGAATTATTAATTTGGATATATAATTGTAGAACCTGAAGAGAATTTATCGAAAAGAATATTCTTCGTTCAAATATCTAGAGATTTTAAGAAACTCGTTTAAATGTTTTACACACACCAACGTAGATGAGATAATTTTCCTCACCGAAGACAGAAGTGAATAATGACTTGACATACACAATGCATAATTCAGTGTCATCACAATTTGAAGAGTTTCACAATCATATCAAATAACTAATCCTTTCTAAATATTGTTTGGCGATGCTCATACGCTCATTCAAGCTACTCAACGATATTAATACATGAAAAATATTTATAACAGAATATCAATTAGTATTAACAGCCCATATTTCACAAATGTCCAGTAGTTAGGAATCCTTCAAGAGATAAATGACAATTTTTTTTAAACGAGACGTTATGTAATGTGAATTCGCACATATGGGGAAGTAATTCTTACATTCCCTTGCTTCAAACACTCATCTCCTAATAATGTATTGATAGTAATGTTGTAATACAGTTTGAAAATTTATGATCTAATGTATACTTTGCTACACATGAATTAATTCTATACAAATTAAGAAAATCTCCAAACTATTTCTATCTCATAGCATAAAAACATAAGTAGTTAGTCAGAAAATGAGATCCACTAACGCGATTGTTAGTGTTTGATCTCAGAATAAAAAGAAGCTTTTTATTGATGATTTTCAATGCTGGCTCAGTGACCTACAAAATAAACATCCACTCATGGAACCGAAGGTATTGTGTTCGATTCCCGGATGTGATGTCATGGATGCACACTATCAAGACGTCTCATACTAAGACGAACCGGTTGTTTAGTGCTTCCCCAGTTTTAAATAATGATTTAGTTAAGATCAGTTGGTGATTTAAATTATTAAAGATCATGGTATAGTTTATTTTTGTTAAAAGAAAAAGTTATCTTTCCGCATAAATAATTAACTCAATCAATTAATTAGTTAGATCTTATAATTACAATCTTTGGTACTTTGGCTAGGGTTAAAATGATACTGATAAAAAAGTATTTATGGGCTCATGTGACGCTGGATATATAAATATATACGTCTGACCTACATATTATTATTATTATTATTATTATTATTATTATTATTATTATTATTACCATTGAGTGTTGATTTGTACTTTTGACGTCACGCATAAGTCTGATTCATTATAATAAATAACTACGTGTACTTTTAATGGTAAATTTAGATCATAGTTACAATTTTCTTTTGAGACATATAATTAAAGGATGAGAAGAAGACTATTATATCGTTTGTTATCTGAACTGAACAGGCATCGAATTTAGCATGTTTTTTTTTATAAAAGAACCCAAAATCTCAAGGTTATAGACAATTTTATAGATAAATACATTTTTCCTATGTATTAGAAATAAGGCTTCTTCCGAACTTTCCGTTTTTTTTAATTTTCTGTTCCAAGTTCAAGAGAAGATTTCTAGGTATTAGGAAACGATTACGAAGTCACTTTCCAAGATTTCACTTACAAGATGTATTATAAATCAGTAACTCAGTCAGTCAGTCAGCTACAACGTAGGACCAGGCACATTTATGCATCGGTTCAAGTTGCCATACAAAATCAGTAACTGAACAGAACTGGTCTGAAATACATGCTAACCATAATGTTTATCAGTAATAGTTCAATTAATTTTTATAAAAATGAACTAGGAGTTACTTTTTAGAGCCTATAGATGTGTCACTTGTTGATAACAAAACAGTCAACCAGTAATGAGCATTGTAATATCGAGAACACGTGTACAACAGTTCAATTGGCTACACTTCATTCGCATAGTAAGATACAATTGTCAAAGGAAATACTAGAAAAGTACATGTAATAACAGTTTCAGTGGTGATTCATTTTTGTATTGGTTCTTTGAATTTTTCCATTGATGTTTAGGATTGTAACTAATCAGTCTCTTATTGGGATATGTGGATCCTGCGCTGATTGCCTCAATATTGTCTTCAGTCACAACCATTATAAGCAAAGATGGATGGTGGCTAGCAGTGGAATCTAAGACGCGCGTTTTGTCCTATTTGGGACTTGTCAGCCGGATATACCAGCATCCCAGAGTTGGTGTTCACTCCGGGACTCGAACCCAGTACCATTCGCTTCGAACGTCATCACGATATCCACTTAGCTACTGAGTCTAAACAGCAAAGATGAATTAAGACCTCACCCCATTGCACAAACTAAGTAGATAACGTGATGGCGTTTGAAGTGAATGGTACTGGGTTCGAGTCCCGGAGTGAACATCGGCTCTGGGATGCTGGTATATCCAGCTGACGAGTCCCGAATAGGACGAAACGCGCGTCTTGGATTCCACTGCTAGCCACCATCTATCTCTGCTTAGGATTAGTGGTGGTTGAAAAAATTAGGTATCGGAGATACGATTCGAGAAGATACGGATTAGTGGAATAAGAAAACCTATAGGGTAATTTAGAAACTAGGGATCTAAGGGAAAACAAAGAGCGAATGCATCTGAATTATCGCGAACAATTCTGAGCCATATCATCCAAAGTCCCTAATAATTGATTACGATAATCACGTATACGACAATCAAGTAATCTGCACCTACCTATATGGTTTAATTCAACAGTTAGAGTTGTCATGGACTGATACCATATTTTAGTATAGCCAATCCTAGCTGTCTTCAAACCTACTTCTATACTAGACATCTTCTCCCAACCTACTGCTCAGTCAACTAGAATTTCTCGTCGAGCTATTCGGTGGATGAGCATACGTAATACATGTCCTTACCATTTGAATCGGTAAATAATTACTATAACATTAATCGATTTGCCAAGATAAGACAAATGGTAACTATTAAAATTCATCTAAAATCATCTAGAAAAAAAATAGCCTAGAAACCAAGAAAATGTTTTAAATATTTAATTTAATTAATCAACACTTATAAAAATTTCAAATTTATTATTAATTCTATTATTTTCTTTATCAACTCTTAGGCCACTCTTAAACCGATGAAATATCCTTCGCTTTTGGTTTTCATTCGATGAAGATCGTCCAAGACTAAGAATTAACTAAGCAGTAAGCAGTTAAAATGTTCGACGGACTGAACATATTAGTTACTATTATAACTTAAATGATTTTTTTAAATGAAGCATTAAAAACTAAAGTAGAATGATATGTCTGAGAATGTCGTCTAGGAAATATTATCAGTCATAGTTAAGATCCAACATAAAAAAGTTAGATATGCACATCATTAAATGCTAGCTCGGTGTGGTCTGCAGACTGAGTATCCAAGTACGAGACTGAAGGTCTTGAATATGATTCATAAATGTGAGGCCGTGGATGCATACTGTTAGGGAGTCTCATACAAGAACGAAACAGTCGTCCAAAGCGTCTAGGTTTTCAAGGATTGTCTGGTTAAGATCACTTCGTGATTTGAACTATGAAAAGTCTACAGTCTTCACAAGTGCCTCTATACTAATAATAAAGAAATGTAATTTTTTGCTTCAACTTACTAAATCTGTAACAGGCAAATTTCTTGCATCCACTATGATCTTGTGCAAATCGTGAACATATTTACGCACCAGTGGAGGAATGGGATTACAACATGCAAATATACCAGAGCTTTCACGTGGTAATACTTCAGCAATTACTTTTAACATATGATTTGGTAGGACATAACTGTGAAGAGATCAATGTATATACGGAAATTAATACTCAGAACAATAATCATGATAACAACAATAAAGTTTTTATCATTATTCAACAATTATAGCATATCGACAGTAACAGAAACCGTAGTGGGTGTTGCTAGAATCAATGTACTGTACTGTGATGTTTACTGGTAATATTTATTTATTATTTATTTTAACACACAGATATTGGTACAAGAAGGCACCAAATACATATGCGCCACACAAATCTCATTTGATATGTGTGAGGGCTGTGATGCCATTCGGGTGCCCAAACCGAAGGTGTTTTTCTTGGGGGGTCACACCCGGAGCCTTCGACATGAAGGTCTGATCCACAAGGCAGTGGAGCAACGTAAGGAAATGCAGTTCCATGGTAGCCGGTGACCAACAATTGGTTCATACGCCATTTGGTCCCTCAGGATCCTGGAGCCCATGTGCACCATTGGTTTGGAATCAGGGTTTTCCAACTCCCCTAGGTGGACTCTCCATGTCGACCAACTCGGTTAAAGCGCCGGACATTCGCTTTTCGTCCTCTCAACTTCGTAAACAACACCCCCGCCACGAGAAGGCAGTGAGTAGGACTTCTCTGGCAGAGGCTATATACGCGTGGCCATGTGAGAGCATTTGGAGAGGAAGAGCGAACTCTCCCCACTCTTGGTCGTACCAGGGCATTTGAGGGCCAGGTAAAGGAGTTGGTTGGAAGAAAGCTGGATGAAACAAATCAAGAGATAGTGTCAGTTAGTGAGGTAAATGATTGTTCGTTTAAGTTGTGATGGTAAAGTGAAATCTATGTTAAACTTGTGAACAACGGTTAGAGATGGTAGATGATATGGTTCCGAAGCAATTACCAACTCTCCTCTTAGGTATTGAGTTTTAAAATTGTTTCATGCTATTTTTGTTCCACGAACTCATTCTTTCCTCTTGAATAATATTGTCTATGTTCAATATTTCCTACTACTACTATTGATATTATTACTATTACTACTACTCTAACACTTGTTTTGACAATTTTACCCAGCTGTGTTGATGTGGTGTGACAACTTGAACCGATTCACGTATGTTAAGGTTCTATGTTAGATGAATAATTTGCAGAGATCCTCTCCATTTAAAATTGGTTCGTATTACAAACTGGCATCAGTTGTAGTAACACTGACAATTATACAACTGATTTACGATAGAAAAAAAGGGAAAGTAGGTACCCATTCATGTTAATAGATAACAATCACACAAAAATAAAAGAATCCGTGTGAGACCACTTTTGAGGCTGTAGGTCTACATTCATTGGATGAATTAAAAAAGTATGAAAAAGCTGACCAGGACGCACCTTAGTTTTCAACGGTTTTCCTCTGGATACAAAATCAGTTAATGATAAATTTATCAATGCATGGTTACGGAAACTGTTGAATCATAATGACATCATGAATTGGTCAAAGTTAGACAACCATTAGGGTACATGGAGGCATTGGATGACCGTTTTGTCACAATGTGAGACTTCTCGGCAGTATGAAACAGCCGTCTAGAGCTTCCAGGTTTTTCCACAGGTTGTCTAATTTCGATCGATTAGTGATATAAATATGAATATATATTAATTTGGAAAACCAACATTGAAACTATATAGTTTTTATACTTAAAAGAGGTTTCACAATTGGAAATACAGTTTTTGAAGAAATGATTAGAAACTATGAGCAATAAAAACAACGGTAGATCGATATGATGAAGTAAAGCGAGCCATATATCTCCTAGACAAGCTTCCTTGTCATTATGGTTTAAGTTATCAACAGTAAATAAAGGGTAACAGCACAGTATAGGAACGAAGCGATCAGAATCGAGAAAGCGACCTTTAGGTTTCTGTGTAAAATTCAAATATCATGTGTCATATGGATTAGTAATATCCTCATACAGTGGTCAGAATGCTTAAAATAAAGAGGGAAAATCATTCTTTATCATCAAACGCTAAAAGTAATAATATTAAATGTACCGAATGACTAAATCTTTTTCTGTAGATTGCATATAACAGGCAAATAGATACTACTTCTAAAAGCTTAATCCTGAAGTAAGCCTTAACTTGTTAGCAGTATATTTTGTAAACGAAATAATCAGATAGGGGCTTTTGCATTTCCGTGTAACATTCATTCATTCATGTGACTAGATTGGACTTCTGATTATAGTTGATGTCAGTTCGTGATGAAAGTCCTAACTCTAAACCCTTGATCACTACCCTGAATACAAACCCTGACTGTGAACAGTGTAAAGACTTAAAAACCTATCTGGCTCATTTTGAGAGTTAGAGAAGACGAACAATCTACATTCGTAAAAACGAATTTATGTCATTGTTTTTTCCCTAATTTACAGCTGGAGTAACCAGTAGAATACTCTAATGAATTCATTAAATACGTAAAAACTATCTAAACTTTGTAATACGATTGTTTTATTTTCTATGAAGTAGCCATTTACGAAGGGTATTTCTGATTGTTTAACAGGCCGGAAATTCATCGTGGTTGTTTTAAGCTCATCCCCTAAATTTAGTTTTGAAATTGCTAATAAAGATACATTTCTATAATCAGTAAAAGTACGGTTTATTCAAAACTCCAAAGGTTTTAATCTCGATGATTTAATCTAACTGATTAAATTCAAGTGAATGTACTTAATATCGAATCACACAGTCATATTAACGAGGAGATAGTGGTACACAGATTTGTAACCATGATTCATAAATTTAATGGATATTTTTCGAATGACTTATATGTTGCTAATTAATTCCAAATCACAACACGTGATATTGTTCACAATTTTACGCGTCAAAAAAGCTCAAAACAAATAAAAACATACAGTAAAATCTTGAACCAATCTAAGTTAGACCACAAATGAAAACCTAGAAAGACTGGACGACCGTTGGATACCGGATCAGTGGTTAAGAGTCTAAGCGTTTACGGACCAGACCGAAGGTCTTGGGTTTGATCCTAGTACACATTTTGCTAAAGAGTTCCTTACTAGGACGAAACGGCCGTTTAGTGCCTCCAGGTTTTCAATGGTGATCTAACTTAGATTGATTCAGGATTTCAATAAAATTCAACAAACTCCACAACCCTAAACTTGTAAAAACACCTTAAATTTTGATGCTTTCCATATGACTAGATAAACAACGAAAAACGTTTGCGAACAAAACAAATCAAATATATTATTTTGTAAGTAGTATTCGGAGTCACAGATTAAGTTTATTTAGAGTAACATTAAAAGCCAAGGAACACTACTCAACAACTGTTACTTCCTAGTATTAGACTCTTTTACAGCGTGAGAATTAAACCAATCTAAACAATAACCCATCAGAATAAAATGTTATATTTCCTAAACTAAAAACCAGAGAAACCACTTCAATTGAAAAAAAAAACGAATACCCAAAAAATAAAACAAAATACTACTAATAATAATACTTACTGGAGACTTTCATCTTCTCGTCTAGCTATCGAATCACGTAAAGCATAAAGATTTTCTAAAGCATATAATTGACGATGACTGAAACTACTACTTCCAGTTTGTCTATAAAGATCCAAATAACCGAGTCTATTGAATACAGGTTTCGTATAACACTACATGGAAATTATACATATATGTACATACAACAATGGTGAAAAGTTTGAATGATGTACAATAAACGATAGGAAAATAATGCATTTCATACAAATAAAAAAGGGTTAACTTAAGATATAGCAATTTAAATCAGTCAACCAAACATAAACAATGCAGAATCTGACATCGATATGAATTGGTTCAAGTTGCCACATTATAACAGTACAGCACATGGAAATTAAATTATCAAGACAAATACCAGAGTAGCAGAAGTAGTAACAATATCAATGGTACTAGAAGTGACCAAACATAGACAATATGATATGAGAAAAAAGTGAATATGAAGAATATAAGTATTTCCAAACAAAAATTGAATGTATTTGAGACATTGTGACTGATCATAAACCACTTCAAATCTTGAACTAATGGTTACGATAATTGTGAAGATCACAACCAAGCAGTCAGTATCTATCAATAAGACTCAGTTCAATAGTTAATGACTCTATGGACTGATATTATGTCTTGCTTTTGTTCAACCTACTGTTACGTCAGTGAACATCCAACACCAATGTAGATGGTAGTTGGACATAAGTAATAATTTCTTTTAAATGGATACTTCTTAAGAGTGTGTTATCCTAGAGGATTTTACATAGTACATTATTTGCCAACATTGGCACTGGTTGGAAAAAAAAACGGAGAAGTGGTTGATTTACTATTTGACATCGTGATATGAAACAGAACTATATAGAATTGATATCTATCGACCTATTACCACTATCGGGTTGAAGTCTTGAAGATGGTAAAACTAAGCTGTACGAGATACTATCCAACAAGGCTCATTAACGAAACCAGTAGCGATCGTATACATTCTCACAAATTATTCACTAAAGTTGACGGAAAAGAAGTCTTCATGATTGTATTTTTAACTGATCGGGATCTTCTATTATAAAATATTCTTGTTCAGTCCTTTCTTTATTTCTGCACAATGCATACCTATTTGTTTGCATGACATAGTTGGTGCCCAGTCACTACTCAATAAATAAAATAAAATGAAAATGTTCATACCATCTTCTCTCAGGACCTAAAATGTGACGAAAATTTTCTCATTTCTTTTCAATTCGCTGTTCTTTTTTTTATTGTTCTTCACTATCGATTATCACTAAATTTCTCTTTCGATTCTTTCTTACAGTGAGACCACTTGGATGAACGAAAAGATGTATAAGATTCAAGGTGTTCAGGAGTTCAACAAATATCAGACAAACTTTTGATGTTGTTTAAACTTTATGCATCTATTTATGTTTGTTGAATAGTTTAACCAATTATTGGAATTGAACTATCTCCTTCTTTTAAGAAAAAAAAGTCATATTATATTCCACAACTTACTTTAAGGCATAATTGTCTTGCTCGTTCAATAGAAACTGGCAATAGATCTCTATCTTGTAATTCTCGACACATACGACTTGCAATATGTAATAGGTAATGTGTATCTGTTCGTGCATATTCGATCAATTCATTCGGCAGGGGTCTGGTACAAAACAAATGTAGATATAAATACACAGATAACTGTGAGAAATAAGCATAGGTATAAGTTACAATACTAATTAACATAAATGACAAGTAGCATAATTTTTAGTAAAAATACAAATAATATGTTGACACAGAGCACTAAATTTAATTTTTAATGGTTTAAATTATCTGATACAATTATTTGTGACTGGATTTTGATCAGTCTCGGTTGGTATATGTGCATCCTGTACGGATTGCCTTGATATAAATATTTTGACACACGTTCATACAATAGATGAATTGTGACTAACAGTGGGATACAGAATGCGAGTTTCACCCAATTAGGGGATCGTTGGTTGGATCTACATAGATCTCAGTAATGATTTTCACATCATGACTCTAACCCAGTACCTATCAGGTATATCAAAACAATTTGTACATGATGCATATATCCAAAAAAAAGACTGATCATAACAGTGATTTATATACTGTGTTTGAAAGCGGGGGACAGCAAATCCTAAACCTAAGTTTTGTTCTCGTTGGCGCTTGTCAGTAGGGTGTCCCTGTTATTTTGAGAGAACTATTCATTCTTATAAGACGTAAACATGCATCACTCACCTTCATAGTCTGAAACGCTAACACTGAGCTATCGAAGCCGAAAATGACTTTCGTTAAGACTGAGGTATCTACGATTGATTGGTCAGCAAATAATGGCCACTGTTATGTCTGCCTAGTCCATATGTGCTGACCGGATTTCATCGACCAATGAATGAGAGAGGATAAATCTATCGGTATGCTAAACTAACCGGAAATTACCTAAGCTTTACAGAATCAGCTGTCAGTTATAAATAGCGTAGGAAGTGGTTCAAATATGTATCAGCCTAAGTTCCCACACGACATTAGCACAGAAAATTAGAATTAAGATGAACAGCAAAAGAAAATGTAATCATAGCAGCAATAGTACTAGGAAAGATCAAACAAGAAGTGTATGTTCAGAGAAGAAATACTGAAATAAAATACGAAGTATGAAATTGTGTTAAAACTGAAAATCTAGAGGGGTATAAAAAATGTATTTGCGGCACTACAACCTACTCTAAGCCACGTTACCCAACCTTTCCAGCCACCAATTGTAACTATCATACCGACTATACCCAGGGAATCTGCGTCATCTAACACAGTTCAGCTCAATAATCAAAATGATAAAGGGAACTATGTGTATGAAATAACCTCACGAGTTGATCCCATCGTTTCTAGCTTTCTTCCAACAAAGTTAAATGCCAGTCAGTAAAGAACAGTTAAGTGTACATAAATCATGACCTAGTCACCTTAGTCGACAAAGATTTATAGTCCCACCGACTATTTTTCTATGTTTAACGAGTATCCTACATCCAAGAACTGCTCATTCTAAAATACACGAGTAACACTCCGAAGATGTCTATAATCAAGTATTAGCAACGTACGAGTCCTTTTCTTTCAAAAGACAAGTTCCATAATGTTATAACTCTCTCTTCTATTACAACCCAGCTATTCCTATTGCTTAGTATTCTCGGACAACGACTCACTCGACAAGTCCCCCAAATCAGAACACGGTTGAACAGGAAAGAGAGATCTTATTTCAAATAACAAGCTTAGATGGAAGTAAGTAGTGCAATAGGGAAGACGTTAGTATATTTATAGTTTTTTCACACGAGAAGATTTCTAGTGTTCGCCAAATATTGGCTAACGATGATTGGATAAGAATGAGCCAATCAGCGTGCGGCAACGCAAGCGTGCACTGAGCATGATTTAATTCAATCTATGTCCCGCTAACACACAATCATAAAGTAACATAGAGCACACTGTCGCATAATATGCTCCCCCCCCCCAAACAAAATTTCCAAAAAGGATACCTTGCCTACAACATTTTTATATGAATCCACAAAGTGTCATTTTAGCGTAAAAAGGTTTTTAAAGAAGACTACATTTGAAGTACGGATGGAACGAGAGAACAAGCAAAAAAGAAAAAGGGATTTCAAACTTTACACATAAGAGTAGTGGCATTTAATGCGTTTCACTAAGCTCTTTACAGTAGTACGAAATTATTATTCAAAGCAGTTTACAAATATTGCAAAACAACAATAAAATTGTCAGTGAGATATTGCGAAGATTGTTGAATTTCAGTGAATTCATAAGATGATTGAAGTTAAAACACAACTGGAAACTTGGGAGCACTAGGCGGTCGTCTCATCCTAATATAGGACTCCTCAACAGTGATTATCTACGATTTCGCATACTGGGGGTCGAACCTAAGACCTTTGGCCTCGCGTACAAACGCTTGACCTCTAGACCACTAAACCGGCATTCAACAATGTTAATGTCTGACTTCAATCACGGAAATTCAGCCACCTCCACAACCTCATACCGACAATCATGTATTCACAAGTAACTAGCTTCGAGGGGACATTTCCGGAGTTCTAGTGAGAAGCTATGACCACTGGAGCTAAATCGTATCAGATGAGACATTTACCCATTGACAACAGTGCAAGATGACCGCACAATATTGTGGACTAATTGAAGTTAGGCTTTAACACCATCGAATGCCGGGTCAATGGTCTAGAGATTAAGCATTCCGGCGTGCAGGGTCGTGATAAGCATTGCTGCGGAATCCCATACTAGGACGAGACGGGCACCCAGTGCTTTCAGATTTCCAGTGGTGGTCTAACTCAGATCGGTGTTCATGATTTCAATGAAATAATAGAACCGTTAAACATTACATGAACAACTAAATAAGAACAGCACCTTATACGCCAATCAGCAAGTTGATATTTCTTATTCGAATATACGCCAACAAATCGTTGTAATAGATAACTAAGTGAGAAACGGCCATATTGTAGCAGGCGAGCAGCTATGCCTGTATCAAATAAGTTGACCATATACACACCGAAATCTCGTTGTAACCACATTAAATCAGAATCGGATCCATGAAACACCTTGAGAAATGTATAATAGAGAATGTGTGGTGGAGAGCAAGAGATATAAAATTTGTTACAAAAAACATTTGCATATAGTGATAACTGAAAAGTGATGTTTCAAGGTCGGTTAAATATAAATCTTATATAAATAGTTGGAAAATGGATAAAAAAGAATTCCAAATCATTACAAATTGAATTGCATAGGTAAGGACGATCAGATCATCCTTTGTAGTAACATTAATACTAACGAAAACCTTGGTGAGAATACTGAAAGAAATGATTGGAGTAGGAAGAGACTGGATGGTCTAGGAAGTTTCTTTAGGTATAGGTTCAATGGTGATAGCACTTGACTTTCAACTAGTCCGTTGGTTGCTTGAACATGGCAACCGAGCAACCGAGTTAATCAGTTCTTAATAAATAAAAAATTGCGACCCAAAGGCTTTAAAATCACACACCAAGTGTGAGGGCTAGCGAAAGGATCTGGTTGCCGAAATCGAAGTAAGTTCAGGAGGACTCCAACTTACAACCTGGAGACTCAGTCAGTAACAACGTAGAACTTCGTACGTACGTATGTACATCAGTTCGAGTTGCCATACCACATTAGCACACAGACACAATTGTCGATTAAAATCCTATAGTGGTAGAGGTAGTAAGAGTATAAGTAGTAATCGGAAACATTAGGGCTTGAAGATGCTATTCAAGGAGTATAATACAGTGAAATAAATTTGGAAAGAGGAAATAGAAAGGGACATGAAGAATTCAGAAGATTAGAATTTGGGAGAACACAGAGAGTGGATACACCTGCGCCATTGCAAACGATTTTGAGCCATGTCATTCAGGGTCTCTAACCATCGGTTGCTATCATCTCGCGGTCCCCAACCAGGTAGTCTACACCTACCAACATCACTCAGACCACTTGTCAGTGACTTCATGGATTTGTGCCATGTTTTGGTCTGGCCGCCACTAGCTTTCTTCCAACCTACTCCTATACCACTGAACATCGCACGCCGAGGCAGTCGGTCGTTGGGCATACGTAACACGTGTCCCAGCCATTTCAACTGATGAAGTTTCACTGCGTCATCAATTGATTTGCCATCCTTACCTAGTACCCGTTTCCTAACAACTGTATTACTTACTCGATGGTCCCAGAATATACGAGCAATGTTTCGAAGACACCTATGATCGAATACTATTAACCTACGAATATCCTCTACTCTTACCGGCCATGTTTCACTACCATAAAGTAGGGCGGAACGAACTGCTGAGCAGTAAACACGTCCTTTAGTTGGTAGACGGATATCTCGCCTACGCCATAAATGACGCAAGTTGGCAAAAGCTACTCGAGCCTTCTGTATCCGTTCTGAGATTTCGTCACACACCAAACCACAAAGGCTGATGAGACTTCCAAGATAAATGAAGCGGTCGACACACTCAACTACTTCACTCCCTATCATTAGTTCGGGTGTCAATGCAACCCAAACATGCTTGCATTGTTGCTTAGAGTGGTCAGAAGACTCTGCATTTTGTCAGCATCTTCACCAAATAGAACTATGTCATCGGTATATTCCAAGTCAACAAGTGAATCTCCTGGCAGAAGTTCAACCCCTGGAAATTCAGATGAGGAAAGTGTTATCTCTAAAAGTACGTCGACGACAAAGTTAAACAAGAATGGAGAGAGTGGACAACACTGACGAACACCACTTGAGGTAATCAATTCTGATGACAGTTCGCCATAAGCTCTCACTCGACCAGTTGTGTTCGAGTAGAGAACCTTCACAAGGTTAATGTACTTCTTTGGTACTCCTTTCAGTGACAAACACTGCCATAGAACCTTACGATCAACAGAGTCGAATGCCGCCTTAAGGTCGAGAAATACGACGATTGTGGAGCGTCTGAATGTGTCTGTGTTCTAGGACCTGACGTAGTGTGAATATCTGATCTATACAACCACGTCCAAGTCGAAAAACAGCCTGATTTTCTCTAGTCTGTTCTTCACGAGCTTTGATTAGGCGTCGAAGTATTATTGATGCTAATATTTTAGACACTATATTAGTCAAACTGATTCCTCTGTGATTGTCACAGGAGGACTTTTGTCCTTTCTTATAGACTGGCACAATCAGTGATTGAGACCAGTCAGATGGGATTACGTTCAGTTCCCAGATTCTACCTAAGACCTCTGTTACTCTCATGGCTAATACTGGAACACCATCCTTAAAAATCTCAGGAGTAAACCTGTCAGGGCCTGCTGCTCTCCCTCTCTTGAGATTTCCTATTGCTTTTTCAACTTCGTAAAGGGACGGAGGACCTACATTAACTTGCCATTCAGGTTGACTGGGGATCATGGGAAACCGAAGTGTGGCTGAAGGCCAGCTGAACTGGTCCCTAAAGTGTTCTGCCCATCGATCCAATCTCCTGGATTGAGAATGTATAATATGTCCATCTTTCTCTGTGAGTGTTTCGCTAAAAGTCGGTTTCCTAATACCGGTTTTCTTAACAAGTCTGAACAGTTGTCTGCTATTACCAATTACCGCTGCCTTTCGCTACTTACCACTGTTCACGATCATTGCGTAGGCTTCTTGTCAGCTTGCGCTTAAGCTGACTCTGCTCTTCGTTATGTTCATAGCCAGATGCAATGAGTTTTCGAGCATCTATCAGTGCGGTAGATACTGCTGAGATTCAGTGTTTCTCCCTTACCTTGTTAGTTTACCGTACTAGCAGATATCACTGCTAGTGACTAGAGCTATCAAACCTAATGTTTACATTAAAGAACGAAAAATCACGAAATTTCTGGAAAAACAGAGATTATTAACTTGACCAGTCATTATATAGATGGAATCTTTGAAGTAATAGGAATTACTAGCATACTGGAGTCGTCAACCTAGTTCAAAATATATTTATTGAATGTGCTCAAATATTATATTCTCTTACTGTCACAATTCAAACCCACGCTTTTTCTTCTAGTAAAATTTGACCATGATACAGGAAAGTCAAATTCTATGCATTTATTTGAGATTCACATCTGAGTGAACTGATTTAAATAGGGAAATAATGAAAATATTCGAAGCAAAAAACCATTTGGTAGCAATTTACGATTGTATATAGTATTCCATCATTGAGATATGTCATATCACTCTATTTTAACATTATTTGTACACCGTCTAGGTAACTAAACTCCATACACCAACTGTAGTTTATTTATACTAATGTAGACAAAAATCTCTTTCATTGATACATAAATACACAAAGAAATATGAACAGTCAAAATGTAATGATTAGATCGAAATTCTCAGGAAAACCAGCCAATGGAGGTAAAAGTGCATGACCTTCAGACATTTGCACTTCTCAAAGATGAGTCACAATCCCTTATTCAAAACCTTTACTTAATTTGAATAAGATTAAATTCTGTTACGATATTAACAGAGAATTTCATTTATTATATAAAGTTTGAGTGCTTGCATATGTAATATAATCAGCCTGGCGTTTAGGGTAAAACTATACTTTAGGAAAGAGCCAATCAGTACCGAGAATTCGATGGTTAGGTTTCTGTGTGAAATTAAAATGTAATGTGTGATATGCAATAAAACTTCCTGTGTATGGAGCTAAAAACTCTTAAAGTGATAGTGTTAAGCCTATGAAATGTTCAATTCTATTTCTATAGATTGTATATAACAGGCAAATCGACGCTTACTCTTAACCCTAAGCCCTTAATTGTGAAACAAACTTTAGCCCATTCGTACTCTATTTTATAGATAGACTAACCAGACAGAGACTGTCGGATGTTCGCGCAACGCTCATGCATACGAATACAGAGCACTTTGCATTATAGCTTATATCAGTTCATGACGAAAAATTTAAACCTAAAGTTTCTAGTCCCAAGCCTAACTATTAACAATGTGGAGACTCCCAAAACTCTATTTAGGTTCATGAGAATATGAATAATCTATATCTGTAAAGATGAATTTGTATGCCATTGTTTTTTGGATTGACAAGAAGAATAACCTGTAGAAGACGTCAACAAATCCCCTAATTATTTAAAATCTATTTACAGTTTTCAATGTTATTGTTTTCCCGTTCCATAAACTATCCATTTACACAGGGTGTTTTCTTATTGGCCAGAAACTAGCTGGAAATTCGTCACGGTTGTTTTAATTTGGTCCCTATGTTGTACTTCTACTCAGTTCAGTTTAAATTTGTTGGAAAAATATAAGGGAATTACGAAAAAATGTAATAAAACAACAGTTCTTAGCATAGTTTGTCATTTTCTTAAGTCGAATATTAACTAAAAGTAGAGTCCCAAACGCTTATTTAGTCTAATTTGGAATTTACCAGCTAAATGCACAGATACAAATAATTAAATTTACGTGTTAGTAATAAAAAAGTATAACTCTCTTACCTTAACAATTTTCGGGTCAGTGAATACTTCATTCAATATTGATAAATGATCACGTAGAGCCAATGCATCGATAATGTAATCAGTATTCAAAGTACTCATTTGTATTAGACATGTAATGCCCAAGAAGCTTCGATAGCTATGATGCTAGAAGTGGTGGGAATTTGCAAAAAGATATATAGGAGAAACAAAAAAGCTGTTCTATACCACCGAATCAATGGTGAACGTGCGAAATTGTATCAAGAGCACAGCTATTCAAGAATCTTAAGATTCTAATCCTAATGTTCCTAGTACAACAAATCATTCATTTACCTTTACTGTCTCCCAGTTGTTTAAATCGGAACATCCGGAGATACAGTGCAGCTATACCGGAGAAAGTTCTGGAAAACTTGAGAGACGTTCGACTAACACATGGTAATCACCACATAAACCCTACGTTGAGTCACGACTACAGAGAGAATTGAAACTACATAGACTAGAAAACGTATTTCAAGTTGCAATATTCATAGACTTATGGAGATAGTTATCACCAACAGTAAAGTAAATTTATGTTCACGAAAATGAGGAGCAAAAACAGTATGTTATGTCAATTTCTGAATACGGTCAAATTATTTACAATTCGGGTAAAATCGAACAACGATTGACTAGATTCTAAGTCAGAACTTAATCCTGCTTAGTTCTGAATCCTTTCGTACTACACTTTACACTACTTAGTAAGACTAAGTAGTAAAACCGAAAACACTAAATTTACAAGAATGAGTAATCATTAGGGCAAGACTATAATTTATGGACGACCTTTGAGCGACGCTAGACTGACTTTGAGTGTCCACCTAATAACTAAAACCAAATGGGGGTTATAAATTAATTTGAGGAATTCAACAGTAGTCATTCTCTTAATTTATGAAATTTTTATAATCACACTATGAGTAAATCACAACTACAGCAATTCAAAAATTCTTAATTGTTTAAAATTTTCGATGGATATTCACCAATTAATTTATGAATGGATTATCCATTTATTAAGCTTTAATGAAGGATAAAAAAATTTTCTATTTTGCGTTTAGTTCAACACAACTAACTCATATTAATGTGTATTGGACTTGTATCAAAACACTTCTGTGAAAAATCAAAACTAAGACAATTTAAACAAAAATTCTAACACCTTAATCCCAATAATAAATATACTTTTTGTTATATTCCAATGCTCAATTTATTGAAAATATCAAGTCCAACCTTGGCATTGCTTGCTTATGCTTACGCCTGTTACTCCCAATAGAACATCGGCCGCCGATCGGCATTCTCTAACCCACTCTGTCCTGGGCCAACCTTGACATCGATACCTATAATCTCAGTATTAATTCAAGGATAAAGGCCAATATATTTGAAAGTTGCTTTGAATGACATAAGTTCGAGTTTTTGAGAGATCATTCATTGATTTTGAGATACTCCGGCCTAGGTAGCAGTGCTTTACTGTCAACTGATATTTCGTGTGATAATGAGCTGTGATTGGACTGTGAGTGAAGAAAAACAGACTACCCTATGTAGACTATTGTACATGTTACTATTATGTGTAAAATACTCCTTCATGCTCTGATTTTAATGTGACTATACACTGTTTGTGGACTGTTAGCAGGTGAGTTAAGTAAATGTTTGTCTAACCTATAATCTGGTTCCCTTTCTTTAGTCGTGAATCATGTATATAAGTAAAACGTGATACAGTATGTTTCTGTATATCGATGTAATCTAATAGTATCGAACACAATACAGTTGCCATATTAGTCCTTGTACTTCATCGTTATATCTCGTAACTCATTGGCTAAGTGCTCATAAGTGGTAAGCTCCTTTATTTAAATCAACAAAGATGGCATTAACTCTGAACTTAAACAACTAGTGATATATATTGTTTTCCGAACGTCTATTTTAAGCTTGAAGCAAGAAAAAAACAAGCCGTTGTAGACAGCAAACTGAAACTTTCTTAAGTCAAAACAGTGGCGATAACTCAGAGTGGAAATATATTTCAGAACATTTGTTATACAAAGCTACAGGACAAAGTAAAGCGTTAAAAATATTGGTCTCTGATCGTGATATACATATAAGCTAAATAGCGTCAACGGTTTACATAGCTAAACTTCATATTAGAACAGTACAAGAGGAAACTAACAACATGACAAGAAAAGCACAGCAATTAATTTCAAATGTAGTGGAAATCTAAACACTTGAGATGTGGACGAAATATATTAACGGAGTAAAAACCGCCTGGATCGAGATGTTATGCAAAAATGTGAACGGGAAATTAAAAAAAGAATACACTTACTTCCAAGTCAACAGCAATATATTTACACATGGAAAGGGATTTCATAATTTGTTCAAGAGTATCTGGTGTGTCAACATACTGATATGATGAATCCAAAGGTTTCACTGGAAAATCTTCCGACATCATTTCATTCAAGCTAGGTGGACTATTGGCAAACGCTTCTAATTCTGCTTTGTATGGATGAGGATAACTTGGAAAACAAGGAGTTACAGTTTTTATAAATAAGGTATACACACTTACTCCGTCAACTCTCCATTATTGTTGGATAATAATTCTTAGTAAAGGTTAATTTAGAACAAACGTTAAATTAATAGAAATTACCAGGAAGTGGTTGAATACAATTTGGTTTTGATTTTATTTTCGGTCGAAACGATGAGTATGAATTGTCTGGTGGAGTGGAAAAAGATGTTTGTGGTCTGACAATATGTTTTGAGGATAAAAGTTTTAGTGAATTTTCCGAAAAATCAACTCCCTCATTAGTTTCTTCATTTGCCTAAAATAATAATCATAATGGGAGAATGATGAAATGCATTGAACATACATTTTTCGTTTTTAACCATTCAAGAGATGTTGTGTTTTTTCGATGAACGGCAACCACCAGGTCTTCAGACCTTGTTTTAAGAAAGAATGCTTTACGCTGAGGATCTTCTTCAAAATCCATGGCCATCGCCTATTAATATATATGTAAAAATGACTGGTTAACTTTCGTAAATTAAAAATTACCAATTTTTCCAATATCCGATCGTTAGCATCAATAATAGAGGTGAATTTCTCGTGCATACTTTTAGTCACTGGAACATCTAAAATGTTAGCTTTCGCATCTAAAACATCGAGAATATTTTGTAGGCTAAATGAACGTAAAAAAATGATGAGAAAATAATAGTGATAATTCTTATTACATCGAAAGAATCTTTTTAGATTGTCCAGCTGCTATAGCCTTATACTGAGGAAAGTCATTGTAGTAAATATAAGCAGGTGTGTTTGATACGGGAAGTTCTTGAGATAGTTTAACAGCCCGAGCGACAGTAGGTAGAAGTTTCTGTAACAAAAGCAAAAACAAACATTAGTTATTTTTCCCATCTACGGATTATATACTTACTGTGGTCAAATCCACTTTTTTACATTCTCCTACATTTTCTGCAGATTGCGTTTGAGAAGACATCGTTCGTAAATTTATTGAAACAGGAGCAGTATTCAAACTAACTAATGGAAATATAGGTAATAAGAGTACAACTAAAATATTACAATTTGAATAGAAAACAACAAATACAAGCAAAATGACGCAAAGGTTGTAAGCCGACTGCACGAGAGTTAATTAAGAGTCTATATACTAATTTATAGAAACATCGAGTTGACAATGAGTAAAACCTCATTGAGTTGTTCTTTTGTTGAGTCATTTAGAGTTCATGGAGTAGAAGGGAATGAGAAAGGTAGTGATTTGTCAAGCAACCAAATAGGTACGTCAGTAATTTAAAGTAAACTGATGTGCACTGCTACACTAATTACCATTTAGTGATAAAATAAGTGATACTAGCCCCGTAAAGCTTTAGCAGGATATTAACGTTAGCTTCAATTGTTAACTGAAGCTGAAGAAAAGTGTGATATATAAAAGGTTATGTTCATCTCTAAGTGTAGTACGTGGCTGAAAATCCGTGTCAATGGCACAAATGAATTCACCTTTCGCTAGATTTTCATACATATCTTTGTATTTCTTCTTTTCGAAAGATATTCTTAATGTTTATTATTTCCTACTAGCATGTCTACCAATGTTATTTTGACTATTGGTATTTCATTGTGTCAACGTGATGTAGTAACTTCAGCAAACACACCCCAGCCTCAATTTTGATGAGACAATGTTTTTGAGTATGATGTTTTACGACGCAAAACTTTCGCTACAATGGGGGCATTAAAAATCCGTCAAAACCGGTGTTTATAGATTGACAGTGATTGAATTACTACCACTGCTCCCGAATATGGATTACTGGGTCTTGGTATTGCTAGCACGATATTCCCACTAGATGTTGGTGGACACGGAGCGTTCACCTAGAGGAGTTGGAAAACCCTGATTCCAAGCGAATGGTGCACATGGTCTCCAGGACACTGAAGGAACAAATGGCGTATGGACCAATCGCTAGTCACCGACTACTATGAGACTGCACTTCTTAACGTTTCTCTACTGTCTCATGGATTAGAACTCTCGATCAAAGGCTCTGGATATGGCTCCTTAAGAAAACTACCTGCAATGGTTTGGGTGCCAAGCAAGTATTTCAGCCCTCACACAAATCGAATGAAGTGTGTCGCATATACATTTTGTACTTTCTTGTACCATTGATTAAATAAACGAGTGATATGGAGACAAAGATGATCGAACACAGGCGCTAAACATCCTTAGGTCGGAAGGGGTTGAATTTAACAAGCATAGAACAAAACCCATTTCACTAATACCTTGCATATACCACCGGTAAAAGTGTACAATACTTATGGCTTCAAGTGGATCAATTAGAGCGATAATAGCGGCTCGTGTATTGTGCGAAAATTAAAGCGCGATAACAAATAACTTGTATGTTATTTAGAAATAGGTGAGAACTGACATTTTGTTAAAAGCGCTTAAAAACTGATTTTTAAAATATATATCATGCAAAGGAAGGGTGAATATAAGATGCTGCTTAAGATACATTACCACAAATACCTGCCCCCAATCCACGTTATGTTAAAGTACTCAATGTGATTCAGTGCATAGTCAAAATTGTTTACTGTATCTAGATAGTATTCTCACACTAACTTCAAGTTCCTCCAGTTTGCCTGCAATTGGATGACAAGGCAATCAGTTATAGATTAAATCAGTTTTTGATGAGAATCCTAACCCTAATTTGTAAATTCTAGCCTAACTTTTAATACTTATTCCTGAAATTTTCGAATAATAGTTAATGTCACTTGGTAGCACAAGTTATATACGTTTAAAAACATTAGCCCGACTCCTGATATGTAAAGCTAACAGTATTCCGTTACTGTAAGGAATACTTCAACATGTGAGAGTCAATTATTCATATCGAAGCTACTATTCCACCGTTGCTTTATTGCTTTTTTCATTAATTGTTATATAACTAGTGTCTCCTGATTTGCTGATAAGTCACTCACGGTCGGTCGTATAGTAAACTTTTACCATCCAACTGTTAACAGGCAAACTAACAGCGACGGAAAACAACCGAACCCAAAAATATCATGTCTATGTAGCATTGTCTCCACATACACACAGCTGTGATTTCTTCATTTCTTCAAAGCACCTAGGTGTTTATCAGAAATCCATATGAAAAGACAATGGATCATATTGTTATTTTGGTTTAAACTGATTATTTTATATATATGACAATAACAATGGAAGCTGAAGCCAATTACTTCCTCACGGTACTACAACAAGATTGTGGTGTGGTCAGAGTGACCTTGCAATCAAATCCAGTAGGTATAGTCCAATCTCCAAGATAAAATAAAAGTCACCCTGAATCTCATTCTGTTATTCCTCTTACTGTCCATATAAAATTTCGACATTTTATGAGGAAACAAAGCGAGCCGGTAATTTTTTCCTCTGGAAGTCGCCTCAGATAACAATGAAAAACCTATACATTTAAAAATTTTGTTACCTTAAGTAAGAATAAGAGCTAAACTAATTATAATACGGGCTACTTAAAAATTAAAGTTCAGCATATATTTGTCACTTTCTCTCCGTAAATAAGTCAAAAAATCTTGGGCGACATGATAGATTAGTTCGAAAAACCCACGGGCAAACAGAATTCCTGTGAAATATAGATATCCCACCAGATGATCACTTGTTAGAACTAACTACTGTATAAATAATTCATCAACCCATCTAAACAAGGAATAGTATGACCATTTACCTTTCATTCGTCCCTAGTTTGGAGGTAAATTACTTGCTATAGGTATTTTGATGAGCTATGTATTTGTGAGGAACTGAGAGAGAAAAAAATGAAGAGGTGAGTTGATAACTCAGTTATCACATAGAATCAGTTTCTATATAATAACCAGAGAAGTCGATGAAAATTGGTAGTGAAACATTTGGTAATATTTTAGTGTCCTTATATCTGACTCTAATAGGATAGTATGAATATCTGCTATCGAAATCCTCGTATATAATTATCGACTCACCAACGTTTTAGTTAAAATATAGAAGAGAATAATCAAAAAAACCATAATGAAATTTGAGGAAAGCAATAACTTGTTAAACAGAGAACAACATGGTTTCAGAAAAAGTTTATCTTGCACAACAAACTTCCTTATAGCAAGGGAGTATTGGATAAAGGCGCTAGAAAACAGAAACTCAGTAAATGTTGTCTACAAAGACTTCAATAAGACACTTTACAAAGTGCCAATAAATAGAATGCTACTGAAGTTAGAAAATCTTGGTATTGCCTGACTTCTTTTAAAATGGCTTAAGAATCACCCAGTAGGTCGAGGAAAGAAAGTAAGAGTAGATTCCAGGTGCTCCACGTGGAGATCAACACTTAGTGGAGTACCTCAAGGTTCTGTCTTAGGTCTTTTGCTTTTTATACTGTATGTAGGTGATCTCCTAAGTTCAGTACAGTCCCTCCTGTTATTGTACTCTGACAATGTAAAAATCTGGTAAGTAATAATGGGAGACGTACGTATATGCACACATCAGGCAGACTGAAATAATGTGATTGACTGGTGTAAGTGGGGAAAAAAATTGGGAGTCCTAGTGCCATACAATTTAAAGTCTTACGCTAACTGTGACAAAAATGCCTTCCGAGCAAACCTTGCACTGGTAACATTGAAGAGCATTTTCGGCCAGTTTGACGAAGAACTTTCCATATAATCTTCAGTACTTTTATCCATCCCCATTTAGAGTACGGAAACATAGTATATCCCCCCTCATTCCAAAAGGATAAGGACACTGTGGAGCGTATCCAATGGCGAGCCACGAAATCAGTTCGAGGACTCAAATTTCAACCTTACGAAGAGCGCCTCCATTCACTTAACCCTTACCCATTAGAGTAAAGACGTCTTAGAGGTGACCTTCTGATGGCTTATAGTATTCTTAACACTTCTGGACATCCTCTCAAACACTTACTTAAGCTTGGTTCCAACACCAACCTAAGAGGTAACACCCAAAAACTGTAGACACAACTTCTACTCCTTAAGAGTTGTCAAATGCTGGAATTCGCTGTCGGCCGGGCTAGTCCGAGCGACTTCCGAGGAGTCCTTTAAGAGGCAACTTGATCTATTCTTAAGGACTAAGGATTGTATCACACTATTCAAATGGTTCAAATGGTTTGAACCATTTGAACCTGTTGGTGTTCAAAAATTCGATAGTTGTATTCAGTAGTGACCTTGTAACAGCTAAGGTTGGTTGGTTCAGAGTTGACCCTAAATAACCAAGCATATGCCAAAACAGTATTGTTCAAGTATTCATTCACTTCCTTGTTTTGTATAAGCATTATATTCCCTATTATCTTATATTGAATGTTAAGAGCCTTTGTTTGTCTGAACAGATAATCCCATGCTCCACTGTCACCGCGCGAAGATCGAAATAAAGACCTATTCACTACTTCTCTGGTTTCTTCTATCAATAGCACGAGGGTTACCTTAAGGCACGAAACTGGTGAGTCCTTTTTGAACACAAATTTAACCTCATTTCTGTTATTAACATTTTTTTTGCTTAATCGTAAAAGTAGACCTGATTATCCGTAAACTAATTTGAGTATATAACTAGTTTGTTCCGTATTATCTTAAGTTATTCGTGTTATAGTAACCACTTCTCGTGCTAACTTTATTGCTATATTTGTCACATACCTCATGTCAGACTCAATAGAAACCCATAATCTGGAGGATTTGTCACCAGTGGAGATAGACACTGTTATGACTACGAAATCCCGACTTCCAGAATTTGATCGTAGTGATCCTGAGTTGTGGTTTGCTCAACTAGAGCATTATTTCACGAGACACAATATCAAATCTGAAGGGATTCGCTATAGAGACTTGTGTTCTATCCTTCCTCCTTCAGTCGCCAAAGAAGTCCGTGACTTGATTTTAAGTCCACCATCACCACAACCATACACCATCTTAAGACGAGAGATAATGAACCGTTTATCATTATCAGATAGTCAAAGAATCCAAAGACTTTTTCAAGGTGAAACACTAGGTGATCGGTCGCCGTCACAGTTTTTACGTCACCTCCAAGTCTTAGTGGGTGAAGCAGTCCTAAAACAAGGATGGATACAAGCTCTCCCATGCTACGTCCAACACTGTTTGGATGCACAGGATCCTGAAACCTCATTATCTCATTTAGCGCGTATAGCCGACAGAATAATGGAAAGAGGTCCTCCAACTGGATCAGGCACAATAAATCACACACAAAAAGTAGAATCAGTAAAAGACCCCGTAATAGAAGGACTCATTGCGAGTGTTAAGAGTCTCACTGAGGCTGTCACCAGAATGCAAATGGGTCATAGAAACAGGAGCAGGTCACCACAACGACCACGATTCAAGTCACAAACACAGGTCACAAATGTCCAGACAATCTGGGCAGTTTTGTTGGTACCACTGGAAGTTTGGTGTCAACTCAACCAAGTGCATGCAACCATGCGCCTGGCCTAAACAAAATTCTAAGACAGCGGGAAACGAGTAACCCCTCCCCAGGTCGCGACGACTGAGGAGGGGCGCCTAAACAGTCGCTTGTTTTATGTTAGAGACAGAAACTCGGGCTTGAATTTCTTGGTGGATACTGGCGCTGCTCTTAGCATCATCCCTCGAAATAAAACTGAGATTAGTCGAGAAACATCATCAATTACACTTCAAGCTGCAAATAAAACTAAAATTGCGACATTTGGGCAGAAAACTTTAACCCTAGATTTGGGGTTCAGGAGGCAATTCCCTTGGGTTTTCACGGTAGCCGACCTAGATCTGGCAATACTGGGGATGGACTTTCTAGAGAGATACGAATTTCTAGTTGACACCAAGAAACGGCGATTAACACTAAAAGAAACTTCGTATTACACAAAAGGCAAAGAAAGTCACATCAACTCTCTTAACTTGATTCAAACTCCCCCAGTAGTAACAGCGAAATTCCAAGATATACTCGCGGAATTTCCAAACTTAACTAAACCAAACCCACAGCCTTCTAAAGACAAACTAAAAGTAAGTCACACTATCAAACCCGAAGGTGCACCGGTGTTTGCAAAACCCAGGAGACTAGCACCAGATAAGCTCAAAATCGCTAGGGCCGAGTTTGATTATATGCTACAACTGGGTATCATCCGTCCCTCTGATAGTCAATGGGCATCCCCTTTGCATATGGTCCCAAAGAAGAATGAAGGTGACTGGCGACCGTGCGGGGATTACAGAGCCCTAAACCGTCAAACCGTACCAGATAGGTACCCAATACCTCATGTCAAAGATTTCACCAACGGTTTACAGGGTATGAACATATTCAATAAAACTGACTTAGTCAGGGCATATCACAATATCCCGGTGGCTGATGAAGATATCCCCGAGACAGCTATTACTACACCCTTTGACTTATTCCAATTTGTACGCATGCCATTCGGTCTGAGAAATGCGGCACAGACATTTCAAAGATTCATAGACAACCTACTTCGAGATATGCCATTTGCGCAGGGGTATATAGACGACTTGTTAATTGCCAGCCCCGATTTGCAATCACACGAACAGCATGTACAAGCAGTGTTGAAAAGACTGGATGAACATGGAATAAACATACATGAAAGTAAGTGTGTTTTCGGTGCTCAAACTTTAGAATTTCTCGGTCACACAATAAGCCCAGAAGGGATTAAACCTATAAAAAAAGAAGTGGATACTATCAAACAATACCCCGTACCTAGTTCTCTAACACAACTGAGAAGTTTTCTAGGCCTAATTAACTTCTATCGCAGATTCATACCAGGTTGTGCACAATTAATGCAACCTTTGACAGATTCACTTAAAGGAAAACCAAAAGAATTCAAACTGTCTTCTGACGCCATCGAAGATATTAAACAGCTTAAAGATAAACTGGCTGAAGCAACTACGTTGATATATCCGAATTCTCTTTCCCCACTTGCTTTGATGGTGGATGCTTCAGATAAAGCAGTAGGCGGTACCCTTAACCAACTGGTTAAAAACGCCTGGAAACCAATTGCTTTCTTCTCGAAAAGACTCGCTCCAGCCGAAACAAGGTATTCTACCTTCGGGCGAGAACTTCTTGCAATCTACCTGATCATTAAACACTTCCGATACATGTTAGAAGGTAGGGAATTTATAGTCTTTACGGATCATAAACCACTGACGAATGCATTAAAAGCGAGAGCCGATAAATACTCACCTCGAGAAGTCCGACACCTTGACTATATATCACAGTTCACAAGCGATATCCGACATGTCAAAGGTCAGGATAATCAGGCGGCAGATGCTTTATCCA